GGCGATCCTTTACGTCCTCCTCTTTTTTGTTTAGTTATTCATCAGCTTATTTCTTCACTAGACACAGAATTGAATTTGTGGTATTTAGATGATGGGACACTAGCAGGGGATCCTGAAAGTGTTTTAAACAATTTTAAAAAAATTGTTTCATCAAGTTTAGATCTTGGTCTAGTTTTAAATTTCGAAAAATGTGAAATATCTACCATTTCAAAACATCCATCTTCATTTAATGAAAAATTCTTTGATATATCACCAAGTTTATCAGAAATTCCTATAAACAAATTTAATTTACTAGGATGCTCATATTCTATGGAAGAAATTAGTTCAATATTGGATAAAAAAACAAACTTTCTTAAAAATTTAGTTAATAAACTAAAAATATTAGATTCTCATATTGCATATTTCCCTCTAAAGGCTTCCTTTTCAATCCCCCATATGTCGTACTTATTAAGATGTATGCCATGCTGGAAAATTACAAAGTCTCTGAAAACATATGATGTTTTATTACAAAATTATCTACAAGACATTACCAATTGTTCTTTTAGCATACATTCTTGGTATCAGAGCACTTTACCAGTAAAAATGGGTGGGCTAGGAATCAGAGATACTGTTACTCTCTCAAAATCGGCTTTCCTAGGATCTGTAGTTAACGTTTGCGATTTACTTAACAATATTCTACCTTCCTATATATTGTGTTCAGATGACTCAGTTTTTGACGAATGTTTGAAAAGTTGGTCCTCTCTATGCCCCCTAGAGAACTACCACAATCTCAAAAAGAATTTGATGATATCTTTTGCAAGATTCGAAAAGAATTTCTTTTTCTAGAAGCAAAGAGTGAAAATGATAAAGCACGTCTGTTGGCTCTCCAAGCGCAAGAAAGCAATGCATGGCTCAACGCTTTACCATCTGCCTCTTTAGGAAACCTTTTGGATAACACAACCTTTAGAATCTCAACAGCAATAAGACTTGGTCTGCCTGTGTCTGTAGAACACCCTTGCATCTGCGGCGAAACTGCTGACATATATGGCTCTCACGGGCTAAGCTGCAGAAAAAGTGCAGGACGTGTTTCCAGACACAGACAGATCAACGATATTCTCAAGAGGGCTTTGGTATCAGCTGAATATCCAGCTGTACTGGAGCCACTTGGGGTTTGTAGAAATGATGGTAAAAGGGCAGACGGAATGACGCTGATCCCATGGAAAAATGGAAAACAGTTAATCTGGGATGCAACTTGTTGCCATACTTTGGCAAAATCATATATTAATAAATCATCAAAAACATCTGGATCAGCTGCTTTGCTGGCTGAAGAAAAAAAACATAGAAAGTATTCTGAGCTTGAAGACCGCTTTATATTTGTCCCTTTTTCTGTAGAGACTTTAGGTCCTTGGGGTGATGAGGCTAGGAGATTGGTTTCGGAAATTAGTTCCAAAATTCCAACTAATCAGTCACGTAGTTTCTTAACTCAGAGGATCGGAATAGCCATTCAACGAGGTAATGCGGGTTCAGTGATGGGTACCATTCAGAAGGACAAAGGATTGGACGAGATTTTTGACATTTGATGATTCTTTCATTTATGTACCTATATTACTACAATCTATTGATTATTTGGTTTAAATAGTCATGCCATTATAATGAACTGTAGGTTATTTTCTGGTACATTATGACTAAGAAGTGATAAATTTATAAATAGTATTTATTGCGAGCAGAACGATCCCAATAAATTTTCAAGTGTCAAAAGTGTTTTCTTTTAACACTTTCAGACAGATTGAACTTGAGATTGAAATGGTAACAGGCGGCATGAAATAATATAATAATTTTTGAAGCTCAACTCTTAAGAATTCTATTATTAAATAGGGAAAAAATATTAGGAAGAATATTCTGAGAGCCACAATCATTGACACGAGCGGGATAAAGTTGACAATCATAAACTATAAAATAATTTGAAAAAAAAAACTCTATTTTTCTAAATGTCTAAATTAGATTCTGATACACTGCACAAATCCAGTTGCAGGTTGCCTGGTATTACAACTTGTCATATAGTTTGATTGATTGTTCAGAATAGCCAATACTTTTCGATCATGAGGTGGAATATAAAAATATAGAAACAATATTGAGTAGAATAGGTATATATACCTACCTATGCCTTTTCAGTAGATCTCCCCCACCTGTCAATTTCTAATATTTAAATTATATACCTAATATCACAAGGAAATTTGAAAGCTTTCGGTACTAAACATTAAAACTTACGGATTAAAAAAACCTTGGATGAAGTAAACTTAGGTTTCTTAACTTCCTCATTGATATAAATACATATCCAGTTAGTTATAGTGAAAATAACTTGAAGCTACCTACTAGGAATACGAATAATGATTCATTTCAATGATAATTAATATATATTTAAATTTGAACAGTTAATATGTTAATAAATGACGTGTTAACTATTGGTTTTGTATTCAATTCAGAAATCCAATAAATTTAGAATTTAAAAATAAAAATAAATATTCTCAAACATTGCACTAATAATCATTGCAAATTGCAACGTTTGACGTTCACGACATTACGACAACTAATTAACAGTTGAATTTTTAAACCTGTTCTTCCAAAGTTCGTTGTGCGAATCTAATTAAGTACAATCAAAGACCAGGATAGGAAAACGACAGTAGTTGAACTGTATTGACATGTGTTTTCTTAGGTCAAGGAAAATCAGTTTGTTGCTGCTATTACTTTGGATAATATTATTTTGATTTCTGACAATAACAAAAGATAGTAAACTTGTACACTGAGATATTATTGTGGTGATTTTGTGCTATTAAATTTGAGGTAAAAATATTTAAGGAAGCAGCTTCCGACAATTTGTTTAACTACCTACCAGAGATTGTCAAATTTGCTTTTTAGTGGTTGGTAGTTTTTCTGTTCTGCAGTTTTCTTGAGAATAAATAATTATGAGTAGATAACCTGAGCCGATTCTAGACCGGAAGTCACTTGTCATACGTTTAAATTTTGGCGTATTCGCTTTTTAATGTTGACTAAATAATTCCATACAAATTAACACTTGTTTTAAAAAGTCATGTCACATACATTTTGTAATAAGTACAGGTAACAGATAACATATAATATTCATAACACATTTTTAAGAGTTAGTAAAGAAGTGCTAGAGCTCATCTCGTTGAAAAGGGCAGGGCTTCAAGGGGAATAGACCTATCTATTTTTACCTGGTATGCGCGCGCAACACGAGGCAATGCCTTTCTATTGGCTAACTAGTACAGGTGAGAGGTGTTCGTTTGGCACGCTCGGCATCTCCTTGTCCTTGTCCATTACCCGTGGTCTGACCAGAATAAAAGTACTTGAACGTCTATTTCGCCATGTATTTTACCCTGCTCCCCTGTTGGTATTCGAAGATGCCAATTTGTAGTTTCAACTCACGGTTATATGACAATATCGGGCCTTATAATGGTTGTCGTCGCGCCTGTATCTATCAGCGATTGATATTCAACTTGACATAGATTGACAAGTGACATTCAAAAGTTGTTTGAAAGTTTCATTGACAAATACGTTGCACAACATGCGGTTTTTCTCCTTCCTTTTTTATCCCGTGCAAATAAGAAGAACGGATTGCTATACGTAAGTCTAACATAATTTGGTACGTTTTGCCTCGTCTTGCGCAATGAGCGTTCTGTGTCTTTTTTTATCTAATGAAGTTTTCGTATTATTACCTCTTTGTCTGGTGAAATAGATAGGTCTATTGATATCGCTAAAATAGGTAAACACCTAAGAGCCCATCTCTGCTACCAATAGAAAAAAAATCATGTGCAGCATCGTACCCCCATGTGTTAGAAGTGAAACTTCTTAAAAACTATTCCCCCTCACACAACTTTTAGACTTAGCGAATGAGTCGGGGTGAAGACTAAGGACCACACAGAAGGGAGACGCGCATCTATAGTGACATCGCAAGATATCGGCGCTCGACATGGGCAATCCTCTTTGCTTATAATCCTTGGTTTGTGTCAATCAATGGCTGTCTTTCTACGTTATATCTTTCTTGTCTCTCGTTTAACGAAATGGGCCTAAACGTGACGCGTCTTTCAAGTTTCAAATCACTCACCATTCTCATCCAAATATCAGACCACCGCCTAAGAAGTTTCACTTCAAAAGTAATTTCAAAGTACCTCGCATAGATGAAAGAACTTGCACATTTATTGGCCTCTGTTTAACTCCGCTTCTTATCCCTCAAAATTGAATATAGCGTACTTCCTCCGATTTAACTGTTCCTCGTTTCAACATTGGAAATAGGTTAATATTTCCGACCCAGATGTGCTAGAAATAGCCTATCAAAATTATCACCTATTCATTAACCGTTGTTCCTTTAAACCTTGAACCAGAAAAATGGAAACGGATTTTCTATATTTGCATATCTTTTGTTACGTAGACTTGAGACTCTTGAGAGCCAGGATATGATTCATTTAATATGTTGTTTTCTATTTTTATTTAATTCTACCGACCTGCGTCACCTAATTGTGTGTTTTTTTTTAATTGAATATATATATCTAGTCTTTCTAGCAAAATGGAGCTAATTGTAGTTGAAAACAGGCATACAATATATATCAAGTGTCCCACAACTGACTAAAAAACAAATTATTTTAGGTCCTTTTTCATTAATATCTAATTTATTTAATTCAATTACGGTTCAAACGTGACCTATTATATGTAGGTACATAATACATTGTGTACACATATTTAATTTGTATGCCAAAAAAATGTTTTCCTTGCACTAAAAAAGTACCACAGGAAAATATAGGTAGGTATAGTACAAAGTTTATTAATCTCACTACTTGGATACCAAATATTCAATGATTTACCCTCTGATTTACCATACCAGGAAAATAAAATCAATTGAAATAGTGCATACCTACCTATTTATGAAATAGCCTACATTAAGTTGCAAACTAGAAAATTCCATTAGTTGTACATGTTTTTAATGTGTATATTTCCTTTTTTTTCAGGTGAGCTGTTACTTCATTTATTGCTGCGGAAATGGCGAGAACTGCTGATAGTGTAAGTAGGGTAATTTATCATTGGAGCATGAATATCTGAAATGGACGTTTGAGTCAGTTGATAGTTATTAGGTATATTATTTTTTATATACCTAGGTATAGATATATTGTACTGTGTCCAGTTGTTAGATCTTGAGAATTTCTACGAGATTTGCTTTATACCATTGGAATAAGTCATCCGTTGTCCTAGGTGAGAAGAGATCTACAGAAAATAGCAGCTTTTTTTGTAATGCTTTATTGGGACAAACTCTGAACTCAAACTCAAATTAGCACTCTTCATGGTTTTGACCTTCCCCCCTCCATCTTAATAAACGTATTTTTCCTAATATCTTCATAACCAAGTATGGGTAGAAAAAAATATTTTTGCAGCAAATAATAAATTTCATTTTTCGCTAAATAACTATTTTTCACAACTATTATTTTGAACATGAGAATAAAATATCTGAACAGACGACTCTCACTGACTGCCTACAGTTAACAGCGCACATCATGCATCTGCCAACTCTGCTAAAATTTGCCACATACATATTAGCAAGGCTTTCCTGATCCTCTTTGAGCTTGGTTTTCATTGTCCCTCCAGAGAATTGTAGGCATATCAGAGCTGTCAGGTATGTAGCAACAAGTTTTTATATGTGGTACCTACTACCTCCTACTTATATCAGTCTTTGTGTGACTCTACCCATCCTTTGAAATAAACAAAAACAAATAAAATAAAAATATATTCACCTTGTCATGGTCGTTAAAGCTGAAAAGGATATAATCCCACACGATTCAGTTTGAAAAATGTCGTTTTCTGTTTTTCAATTATTTTTATTTATAAAGAAGTTGACTAAAATTGGACTTTAAGTAGCAAAGTAGGTAGGTACATTCAGTTACAGTTTTAGTAAAATTCGTTGTCTTTAAATCCCCCTATCGAATTTAATAAATGATTCTTTGTCAGGCTGTATATTCGCCAAGCAGTAAATTCTTGACGCAAAAGACTTAATTTGTTAGTCATGGCGGTTTTAAATTCGAGCAGTTTGAGTCATCTTTATGCCAAAAAAGGTAAAACGGGTCTGCTATAATGTCGACAATAATTATTATTAATGCCAAATATTGTGAAACTTCAATGGGCCATGAACAGAGATTTTAACCCACTGGATCGGAACATTTTGAAACATAGGTATTACACTCATTATTGCTATCGCTATCTGTGAACTGGTAAGAGGTCAGGTAAATTGGAGAAAAGTGGAAAAGTTTTAGTGTTTATTGAAAGTAATTTCATAGAATTGTCAAAATTTTGTTTGTTTTCGAGATATAAAAAAAAAGTGAAAACTACTACTAAAGAGATATTGTAAGTGCCTGTCTTATTAAAGCCCTATTTTGACAACTGCGCATGCGCAGTTTCTATTTGGAATAGGGACAGATTTATTAAGGATAAGGATCTACTTTATTTAGGAGAAAATAAGACCTGATGCCTTATTTTTGCATTATTTGGAAGTTCGTAGTCGATCTGCGATAACTGGTAGCAATCGCGAACTGATTTTTGTTGTCTTTTGTGTTCATAACGTAACCATAGATTTTAGATTCATGAGAATAAATTTTGACTGACTCGAATTTTTTTTTACAAACTGAGAAATGTAGCAAAATGTTATCCAAATTGAATTGAGGCTGTTCCACTATATTATCCCTATCCGCACCAATATAATATTGAGCAAATTGCCATCTTCAACATACTATTCGCATTGCCCAAATATAGGGCCTTTAATATTTTTTGGTTTTGTTGAAGAGTTAAAATGAAGTAATCAACTTAACCATTTCCCAATTAATAATCAAAAAACTATAAATTATCAACGGTCGTTATCCATGAAAATTAAATTAAATAAGAAGATAAACATTCACAAAAGTTCAGTCGTTCTGGAAATTTGCAATATCTAAACTTGTCATTCGAAGTAAGGAAATGACTTATCGCGTCTGAATAAGGTTTTAGCCTTATCAAGGTGGATTTGCAATATCTCTCCATACTAAAACTTACTTACCAAAAGAATATTTCACAAATCATCAACTTTGGTGAAATGTATCTAGTAGAATTTTTCTCTCGTGTCTATAAATAATCAGGAATGTTTTCCGTCGATTCGGTATGAAAATAGCCATCAACAAAGTTTTTTTCCTCTGTAGGGACCTGCTAAAATACCACATTTCTTGCTGCAGTAGGTACCATTTATTGTTTTGGTTCTTTGTCTGAAACTGAGTGTTAAATAGAATTAATTGAAAAAAAATATCAACACGTGAGGTCGCTTGAACTAGGCGGCCAGTTCATGGGACCGTTATTTCCAATCCAACGATTAGGTACGGACTTATTAAGAAATCTGGTACATCGCGGCGATCACGATGAGCCAGCACCATATTGCTGTATTGAAAATCATTCCTCAAAAAATTCAGTTACATTTCATCATTGGCCTTCACACATTGTAAAACTTTGTAAGTTAAAACACTAACGTGGTCTGTTTTATCGATCACACTTCGAATAATTTCGAATGGCTTTTCCACTATATCACTTTTTTGCCTCCCTCTTGCATGCCGCAACCACAATTTGCCTTGATGTTTTTTTTCTGCTTTCTGGAGGATAATTTTTATGTGTTATATTTTTACATTCATAAGTTCATATTTTCTTTGACCTATTGTAGGAGCGCCAAAACTAAATGTTCCACAAAAACGAATATTCAGTTGAGAATCGATTCACCTCAAGTATAGGTACTCCAAGAATCTACTTACAGATGTAATAACAATTAGGACCTTATTAGATGTGTTAATTTCAAGGAGGGACGATAAGCAGCCAAAAGTTGTCAGATCCTCTAAAAATCCATTTTTTTGCTTTGTATTTCATCATTATTGTGGGTACCACTGGACGCTGTGTGTGATCCACGGACATTTAAGAATCAATGCGATGAATGTAAATCAGCAATAAAATTACACGGAACCAAGTGCGGTGTTCGGCCCACGTCCTAGGACAGCAAGTTTCCAAAATTGACACCTCCTTTGATTTTACTGTGTCGTGTCGTAAGAATATGGGATGTGAATGACTAAGCCGATTCATGTGGGAATTTTCAATTTCTTGACTGTAATTTATTGAAAAATTGCTACTTTTGAAAATTTTCGTTCCATTTGTTCACCCACGCGAGATGAGAATTCGGTATATAGAAAAACCAGAGTGGGACACTTTTTTCCTCCAACCTTGTGTTATTTATTATAATAATAGGTACTGTTAGACAACAGATAATCTCGGCGTTGACCCGATAACCCATTGAACAGAGTTCCTTATTTGTTGATAATTATCGTACTAAATAAACAAAGCAAGTAGTATCAGCTGATTTATTAACGGACCTTGCATCGCAGTAATATAAGTATGGTAGATATACGGTTTTCTATCCATTAGTTTCCATAATGTTTTTTTTTTTGATACCTCGCAAATACTTTAATTGTTCGGGGATATATGGAGTTAAGTTAGGAAAACCAGACATTAACTTTCTGGCTGGTCATTCAATTGCAACAATTACCTCTTATTCCTTCTCATGTCACAGGCTCCCAAAATGTAACTGACTTCGGAATATTAAATCAGAAAACTTGAGAAAAGCAGTTTCACAAAAAAGTTAACATCTGTAAATTTCCATTACACAAACATTATTCGGAAATTTTGAAAGTTTATTTAGACACCAGGATGATTTTGCATGCAATTTATGAAATTAAATTTAACGAATAAATATTGGTGAAATCAGTTGCTACCCATTGTTTATAAATTTTACATATTTTTATTTCACTCATTCACTTTTTTGTTAAAATTCTGAATTATGTATAGTGGATACCACCACTGAAAAAGATATTGTGTGTCGAAACATAAGGATGTTGTGATAATAAAATAATAAGTGAGAATTATTTTCCATACGTTATAATGAATTTTAATCAAGTAAGGGCTAATTGGATAGAAAATAAATATAAATAATCTATAGATAAAGCTATCTGGCGCAAAAAAAAAATACTATTTGCGTGTAGTATTATTGCGCAATATAGCATCAAAAATATCGCTCAAACTGAGTCAAACTCGCGGTCAAACTAAAAATTAAATAATTATTATTAGCTGAAAACATTGAAAAGTTCCTTAGCCTTTTCCATAACTGTTATTGTTGATTTCTTTCTTGTTTAATTAAAAAAACCTTGGAAATATTATTTAATTATTTTTTAATTTTGCTGTGAACTATTCACAAATACATCAGTCCAATACCTGCATTGTTATCATTTAACACGGATTCTGAAATGAGTCCAGGAAATTTTACTAAGACCGGTGAGTGAAAGTTAACTTTTAAAATATGAACAGGAATATATAATAAAATAGTCATATACTGAAATAATTTAAAATAAATATTTTGAATAAAGTACCTTCAGCATATTTTAAATCATAAGCTCTTGTCGCATTTTCAACTTTTAAGAACCATTCTATGAGGGTCTTCAGGAAAAACTCACTCCCCTTTCTTAAGCTTCTGTTGGTATATTATCAATAACAATAATGGATACTAGTTCATCATTTGGATCCCAAAATTCAATTGACACTGTCTATTTTTATCAGGCAAATGACTTTACCTGGTGAAAGAATGGCCTGGATTTCTAGCTCTATAGTGGTCTAATTTGGCTTTCTATGAGATTCCTGGATATCCTGCTCTAAAAGTTCCAATGAAAGACTCGCATGCTTTCCAAAATACTTGCGCTTGTTCGCGAGAAGGAAGCAGCAGCATCGTTTCTAGCTAATTGTTTTGAATCTCAAATTTTCTACCAGTGGAGAAGAAAAAGAATTAATTTTTGTCATGTTTTTAGAACTTTGAATTTCCCTTTTTCTTTGAACTTAAACAAAAACATTACAATAGTTGTACTATAGATCTGTCTCATCAAATGCAGGAGGTAAGATTTGACAAGGAGTATCCAATAGAAGGGTATTTAACTTTCACCGAGGATTTGGAGGGTGATTTCTTTTAAAAAACTTTGGTTAAACAAGAAAAAACCAATTAAATCAGCTCACGCAAAATTCCTTTTTCTTGAAATAAAGCATGGTTCGCATGGCCAATTTGGGGGTACCTGTAGTTAAGATGGCATATTCACATTAATATTTTTGCGGACATGCCTGACACAATATGCCTAAAAAAACAACACAATCAACAATGTTTGTACGGTCGGTGAATCCAAGAAACGTACCTATTTGTTATTATATTTGACAGTATCTATACAGTATACAGCGTGTCTCACGAGGTTTTACAATCACCGGTTTTATCCAGGTGATAACTTCGGAACGCGTCATCAAATGTTTCACTTTGTAATTTTTTATCATTTTCTTCAACAAAGCCTTAACAAATATGGCATTGCCGATTTTGTAATTTAATTTTCTAACGGAAAATGCCATAATATTATACCATAAGCTACATTTAAGATTTTATAAAAGATGCCTTCACTTGACCGAAACTGAAGCGAATTGGTGAAGTTGGATGACACATGTAGAAGGTACACAAAAAGTTACCCAGATGCTCAAAGCTTCAATTACATTGGATGATGAGTTCCAAAGATATCACCTGGGTAAAACGTCATGGGACACGCTGTATAATTCATATGGTTCTAAGTTCAATCAGCATTTCTTTATTTGCCGCTTTAACTATTTCTAACTCCCTTATTCTTTTGATGGTGGCCGGAATTTATTATAAAATTTCAATCATATGTATTGTGGCTGTTAGTTGCAATGGATGTTTAGAGTGATTTATATTTTCTAATCTAATTGAGTAATCATGACGAAAAGATGTTTATTTTCAGAAAAGAACATCTATATAATTTTGTTATTTCTGTAGATGGGCAACCCTAATTTTATGTTGATAACGCCGCTTATTTGCACAAACCCATCTACGCCTTTTCTTTTTTTTTGTATTTACGGCTGTGCAGAGAAAGAATTTTTTATTTTAGTTGGCAATAGATTTTTATGAGATAAACACACGCTTGCATCCCAGCCGTTTTATTTTTCCTTCGACCCTTGGAAATCTATTGCGGTTTTTTTCCACTAATTAAGTTGCAGTCCACTTAAATACACTTTGCTTTTCCGAAAAGTATTAACAACATCAAACATCAGTAATTAAATAACGCTGTAACAACTTAAAATTGATGAAAGACTTGACCGACAAGGTAGAAATGAAACAGGTCTGAGTAGCTTAGCTGGTAGAAAATTTTTCATTATTTTCATCAATTTTAATTAACGCCTGATGACACTAAATTCTAAAAACACTGTAACGCATTAACTGTTAATTATTTTCAAAGTCCGAGACACCGATCTAAGTGATTCAGAGTACATGATTCGTTATACTGATGCATTTTTACCACGCAAACCACCTTTTTCTGTACCAATTCATTGTATGAATTATTAACAGTTGGTACTACGATTAAACACTGGTTTCGTAGGAACTTTTTATTTAATTTATGTTCTAGATTATGAAAAAAATCTCTAAGTCGCCCCATTGGCAGTCGGTGATCATTAAGTTATTATTTGTGGAAAATTCAAAATATTGTGTAGTTTCCTTAGCAAATTTACTGGATAGATTTTTTCAAGTATAAAATTTTTCCCTGTTATAGAAATGAATGATTTATTTTCATCACTTTATTTTTAGTATCTATAGAATTATGTTGATTTTCATAATAAATGAAAATGGAAAAATTAACAACACATTCTGGTTATTGTTGGTATCTAATTTCGATGTTTCTCTTTGTTTTAGTAATTTGCTGTAAAACTGGGGTATAAGGAAGCAACCGGCACCAAAATGGTGGACTACTATAGAGTCCTTGAGGTGCCAAAAAATGCAACAACGGCTGAAATAAAAAAAGCGTAAGTAGATCTATTGTTATTTTTACAACGTGTTTAACCATGTCCATAATACATAGTTGTTTCTATGCACTGAAATATCGTTATCATTCACGTTTATCGCTTGCCAAGTGTACCTACTTATTTGATTCTAATTATAATTTTATAATTTTTGGAAGAAAACATAAAGTAACATATTTCAGCACACGGTGCCTTGCTTCAGAAGGAAATCAAGTACAATTATGCTAATCACGGTAAAAAGATTTAACATGAAAGGGTATTTTCTTATGATGGTTCTTTTATTCTTGTTTTGGAAGATCTTCCTGTTTGTTCAATATGTAGTTACTTTCGGACAAGTACCACATTCTAATAAGTAAACTCCTGATTTGGATACTACCTATGTTCGATCTAGATCTGTTATTTTAATGAGGTAACCTGAGTTTTTATTGGCTCTAAAAGCAGTCTTTATCCTGTTTTTCGAGAAGTTTATGAAAATAGTAGGTACCTACCTGGTGTATATCACAGATTTAAATTTTACACCAATTGAACATTTTCAACAATTCGGATCATGAAACAATTCAGCCAAAACATTTTTTAGTTGCAAAAAGTCACCAGGTTAAAATAAATAAGCCCAAGGGGCCTAAAAAGGTTTGCGCAACAAATTGTAGCCCTAAGAGAGGCCTAGGTAGGTATATTACTTATTAGCTGGAGCGTAAAGTGTTTTAGTGCGGCTATAGATCAATGGATTGTTAAGTCATTGTTAGCTAACAATAACTTTAGGAAAAATAGGGATTTTAGAGAAAAATGTTTTTAACTGAAAATGATGGATCATTTAGTTTTCTATAAAAAATACCTCTCTGTTTGGGTTAGTTTAACGAAATGCGTTTTTCAAATTGTCGAAGGCAGTACATTCGCGCCAATTGGGATTTAGCTGAATAATTTCGTATTTCCAACCAAAAAATATGTACCTAAGTGGCGGCTCGTAAATCCCTTAATTGGTATTTATCGCTTGCCTAAAATTCTTTGACCACTAATTATAAAATCATGTGGGATACTTTTCACTATTTTAGTAGTTATTTATCAACTAAGTCTTGTATTTTTGGACGAGTTTTGTTTAATAACCCGTATCGGATATATATACCTACCTACATGCAAAAACCTTCCACTTATATTCGATTTAAATCTCACTTAATATCGAGAGATTCTTCCAACAATATAAGCTTGTGGGCGTCAGAATGCATCAAGACTGTAATTAGTAGATATTATTATCCCTGGAAAACAATGAGATGTTTTTTGTAGCCTTGTCATATTTTTTACCATGTTTTCTTTTTCTCAGTTTGCCTAATGAATTTGCCTCCTTGTTAAACAAAACGACGTTTCCTGTTTCTCACGAAATATGCATTTCTATATAATGAATATATTATAATGTATCTAATATTGTGTTTGTCTTTTTTTTTGCTTCTTCAACGAAGTAGATAGATTGCCTTTGTCTATTGAGAGAACGTTTCCTGTCATTTGCTGAAAAACTTGCAACATTTCACTTATTAGTCATGAATTAGCGTTTTATACTCAGGAAAATTCTGTTAATGTGGCATTTTTAATAAATAATTGTTGATAGAAATATCATGGAATTCGAAATAAATGAAATAAACATATTTTTACATTTTATTTAAAAATGTATGATAAGTAATATTTAACTATATCTTGACAGTTGTTAGGGTTGCTTGGGTAAACAAAAATGGAACCTTTATGGAGCTCCGTTGTCGTTTTTTTCAATCGTAGGTAGAGAATGTTGAAAAGCAAATGTCTATAGTTTAACATTAAACTATCACACTTTAACTCTTTAGGTATCAAGATACTACAACACTGATGTGTGAGCTTCAAACACTTATAACATAATTCCGATAACCAATAAATTCAGTCCAAGTGTGTATTGAATATGTTATCCTGCAAATCAATTTGAGTATACTCCAGCCATTTCCGGTGATTCCCCGGTAATAGACTAACAGAAAATCATCCTATATTATTATAGGCTTCAACCAAACAATAGAATAGAGAATATCTAGATGACAAATTGAATTAGCAATAAGTTAAAGTAGGACAGTAAATCCACAGCCTAAAAAAAAACTGAAATTCCAATATACATATAAGCAATTTCTCACTGATAACATTTTTGTTTTTTCGAATCAAATCATAAACGTGGACGCCGCCCAAATTCAACGCTTGAAGAATTTTTTCCATGTATTCTATTCATGAAACCTGCAATGCCCAACATGAAATGTTATATCGATGATTTGCAGAGGGTTGCTGATGCACACACCAGGCAAAATTATATAAATTCTTTGTAAGTCGTTTAACACTGAACAAAAAAGTAAATAAATGTAAGGTTTGTATATTATTCACCTTGGCTATGAAACCGTCAAAACTCTCAGATGGTTTTTGAAAATGGCACTACAGATTTTTTTGTTGAAATGTATGGAAACCGTCTCGTATTTCAGAACAGGCTTTAGAAAAATGTGATTGTGACTACGTTTATTTCACGCGTTATATCCAACTAATTCGATTAAGGATTATTAATCCATATTCGTTTATTTCACAAGTATTGAATAGATTAAGACTAGTGTTAATCCTTTCTTAAGCCTTGTCGTTTGTGTCCAACTTCATTAAAGGCAACAATGATGAAAAATAGTTTTAATTAACAATTAAAAGGTAAACATTTTCTTTTCTCACACCTGTTTTTCATCAAAAAATATTCAAATAAAACTAAATAACATCAATCCTCTCAAAAAAATTACAAATGACAAGTGTGATTTTTTATTGAAGTTAGCAACTAACTTCTCAAATCCGAGATTAAGGTGTTTATTTCATATTTGAGATAATCCATTTTAAGTCCAATCCTACAAATTTGGAGTATGGAATTAAGTACTCCGATCCGAGATATTTCTCTAATCCTGAGTGTTTATTTCAGGATTATTAATCCCCATTATTATTCCAATCCACTAAGTATCCGGATACAATGCATGAAATAAACGTAGTCAATGCCGTATTCAAGAATTATATAGGGGGGCTGGCTGGTAGGCCCAGGTAGGAAATATTGTATATTTTTCTAAAGCCTGTTCTGAAATACGAGACCGTTTCTTACATTTCAACAAAAAAGCTGAGTTGCCACATTTCAAAAACCAAGTCAAATTAAGGTTTGGCATTTAGAGGGGTTTTAGTAACGTTGGGACGCTGAATCAATTACCTACAATAAAAATAAAAAGGAATATTCATTTAAAAAAAAAAAAAAATAAGTTACATATACTGCACCTTAGAAATGGTAAACTTGGCAACATTGCAAATACCACCATTGAATCGGACATTCCCAAAAACTCCCAGGGTCTTTATTCTCGAAATAAGGAATCACCGTTCTCATGAGAACGAGGTTTCGGTCTTCGTCGCCCATTTTCATACAAATTTTCATAAAACTGACAAAGACAGAGAAATCTTTCTCATGAGAACGCTGTTCCCCGGTTTTGAGAATAGATTATCAGATAGCAAATATTGTACATTTTTCTTAAGCGCGTTCTGAAATATCAGGCTGTTTCCATACATAACGACAACCTTGTATGAAGAAGGAAATTTAAAAACAATCCTAAATCAATAATGTTGTAGAGAATAATAATTTCTTCATGATTATCATGTTTGTTTATAATGGTAGACTGTAATGACGCGAAATTTTGTGCAAAGTGGCCGGTTTTTCCTGCCTCAGACCCACTTGATCATGCAGGTTTTTATTATGTAAAAAATACCGCAACAAAATGTATCAAATTGGTTTTAACTCCTGGATAGGATAGAAAATACGAATCCGTTAGTGCTGAGACCAAACATTTTTAAAAGAATAAATTGTAGCTTTGAAACTATTCGAAACTTCTTGAAATTACAGATTGGCCTAATATTGTATATTTTTCAAGGTACCGAAAACTCGCTCTAAAATGGCATCCAGACAAAAATACAGACAACGTCGAAGAAGCCACAAAGAAGTTCAAAGAAATATCCGGGGCCTATGAAGTCCTTTCAGATGGTAAGTTTTTTTTTTACAATATAAAACTAGCATTTTGAGTTTCATTATTGAGATAACTTATAGATTCTTATCACTTCTTATCAATGATTCAGCTAGCATTAACCCTGACGTAAAACTATGGAAAGATTTATGTTGTCTCAACAACACCTTGGTGTGAATCTTATGAAAATATAATTATAATGTAGCTTATTATAGCAAAATAATTATCGAAAATTGTCGGAACATTCAGTAAATGTTAAACAAGTTATATATAATCTCAAAAAATTGTCTTGGGATTGAAGAATGATTTATTTAATGAATTCAACGTTAAAATCGATAAAAATATAATATAAAGCAGAGGGCTATTCATGCCTCCATATACAGGCGACAAGTTCTAAAAGTAGCCACCGGTATTATTTTAAGCATGAAGGTGAATCTATGGCGTTAACCGTTTTAGTTTTGCGTGTACTCTGGCGTCACGCATTCAAATTTTTGAACGAAAATATTGGGTTTTGCCAGAAAAACTTTTGCCTACCTTCATGAATTAATTTTGTGTTCGTTGTCTCTATCATAGGATACATGTTACATATTATATTATATGTAATACATTATACTCCCGTGTGAAAATGTGTGGTGCTCCAACAATATTGACTGCGTTTATTTCATGAGTTGTATCCAGATACTAAGTGGATAGTGGATTGGATTAATAATCCCGAAATAAACCCCCAGGACTAAAGAGTTTATCCGGATCAGAGTACTTAATCCAATCCTCGAAATTTGTAGGATTGGACTTAAACTGGATTATCTCAAATGTGAAATAAACACCTTAATCTCGGATTTGAGAAGCTTGTTGCTAACTTCAAGAAAAAAATCACATTTGTCATTTGTAATTTTTTTGAGGATGGATGTTATTTGGTTTTATTTGGATATTTTTCGATAAAAAACCGGCGTGAGAAAAGAAAATATTTACCTTTTAATTGTTAATTAAAACTATTTTTCATCATTGTTGTCTTTGAAGAAGTTAGACACAAACGACAAGGCTTAAGAAAGGATTATCACTTATCTTAATCCATTCAATAGTTGTGAAATAAACGAATATGGATTATTAATCTCTAATCCATTTAGTATCCGGATACAACGCGTGAAATAAACGTAGTCAAAACCTGGTTCAAACTTCTAGACCCTATAAACGTGCCAACATTTTAATGCACACTTTCTTAACCCAGTCATAATAATGAATCACAATCACAATGATTTACTATTGTGACGCAATATCCAACATACAGCTACTAGAAAATGTTTTAATAATAGGCCGTCTAGAAAGTATCCGGAATTTTATATTTTTCCTGATTTTAATTTACTCACTTTTCTTTCTTTTACTTTTCTAACATTGTAAAACAAAAGTTATGCTCCGAGTAGGCTGTAAGGATAGTAAGCAAGGGTTAAAATCGCATGACAACAACAACATCAGTCAAATATTGTTTGTTGATCGTATAATTAGTGCAATTGACTGAACTCGTAATCACTAATCTACTTTTTGTTGATTCTTTTAGACAATTTGTTCTTTGCAAGTTATTAGAACTTCATACTAAGTAGACAACAAAAAATTCTAAATTTCATTTTCTCAAGAAACGCCCATTTCAAAATAAATTGATATGGCTAAATTTATTTGAATTTATTTATTTAGGTTTATAAGATTTCTCGGTTTGGTTTCCATTCAATCATTTTGAGCTATTTCAACCTTTGTGATGGTTACATAATCATTCGCCAGCATTAATGTTCGTTTGAAAGTGGTAGGTAACGAGGAATTGTATCTCCAGTAGTTATTAGGCTGGAATTGATCGAAGAAAATAAATTATAGTTAAAATTTCGAAAAGCTGAAAGAAATTTAGTTTTATACTCTGTAAAGTTCATGCAAATCCTGTACGGTTAGTACCATTTTGATGATATTGCTTGTCGTGGCAACTCTGTAAGCAAACTATCAAAAACTTGCATCAGGTAATCTGAACCAACCCGACCGAATGTCTTTGATCGGTCGTATAGAATCAGGGGAGCATTTGTGGTGGACTCTCATTGGCCAAGTTCGAATCGTTTTTTAATTGAATTGTACTGATACCTTGAACTTTTCCATTCAAAATGCGTTAGCTTTCAAAAAAATATACTTTGGCATATTTATAATAACAACGCATCCTAAATAGGAAAGTTCAGCTAAAGCACCATTTGAACTTGGAATGTACGGCGGGGGCCTTATTGAATTCATTCATGAAACATAATTTAATTAATATTTATGTCCGGTATTTAAACGAAAAAACAGAACAAATCTGATTTTAATCTGTGCAGGCAAGAAGAACAAAGCGTTCCTACCTACTTTTCAGGTCTTGAAACTAATAAATTGAAGTACCTAATGCTTGTATCAAAGCATTGCAGTTTTTTTCTTTATAGGAAATCTGAGATATTTATGTTGAGGAGCTAGTTGATGTTAATCTTTTGACTTTCATTGCCTTCTGGTTTTTTGTCACAACATGTTGATTGTCTTTCATCTGCAGTCATTATCAAGTGAATAACAAAAATTTTTAATAACGGAGATTTCCTGTAAGTCATTATTGATTACATTAGGTACCGTAGAATCAATTTCGTATGTAATATATAATATAAGAATAACTATTTTCTTGCCAACACAATCTATTACAATGTCAAACTGATCAAGACCAAAAATACACAACAAAAGCCAAGAAGTTTTTAAAACTTGCATAAGTTTTTAAGAGTATCTTAAGGTTTAGTGCCCTTTGCATGTATTTTCGCAACTATAATGAGCGACAGATAATATAAAACAAGAACGGTTAAAAATCCTAGACAATAAAAGTAATTCCTATAGGATTCATGGTAGGCAGTCGAAGAATGCACCGTATGATTCACTATTGTGCTTTGAAGATGTCTATGACGCTCATAGAAGAGTTCCAACAACTGATACCCAATTGTGACAGTATTCAAGCAGATCAAAACATCCCAATACCTGTCAGTAGTTAGAGTTGAGGAATTTTTTTTATCAACGACCCCCTCTATTAATATAATGTGTCCGTAGATTCTATTGTTCCATTTGATTTTTGAACGCAGTCTATTCTTTCATTATAAGGAAATCCCTATCTAAGTATGTTTTTTTTATTCCAAATTCAGTTTATGTGAGCTAGAGTGTTTTTTTTTTCAGTCAATACATTTCTTTTAAATTATTAATCTGTCGGATAACTACGTCTTCTTAAGCTGAACCACCTTACAAAGAGCAAGTAAACGTTTGCTACCGGCCTACAACTTAGACAAGAGCACACACAGGATTACCAGTCAATATTTGAGAAAATTGATGTATAATGTCAAGCTTCAAGAGCAAAGCATCTAGAACATTACGAAAAATGGAAATCTCTCTGCAACCTCTGAAATAAATTCTAGGCCTCTGAACGACAACTGCTATCCAAAGTTCCCAATTTTGCTACGACTCCTAAATACATTTTCTACCTAGAACATAATATCCCCATATAGAAACCATGAGAATCGAACCAACCTTAGCAGAGGAATACAAATAAAATATAAAAAGGAAGTTGAAAGAGAAAAAACTGAAAAAAAAAAATAATTCAAGAATATATCCAAGGAAGTTCTCTCATAAACCTACACCAGGATAAACCAACTCAGATCTAACCAGCGGATAAGGGAAAACAGACACAGTAGATAGAAAATCTATGACCTGCGAAAATACAACGAATCGGACAAAAATATATCATCAGACCCGTTTAAAGTTTAACAATGATTAGAAACTTATTCAATTATATTTAATGAAACGAAACTTCAGACGCATGCGATCATTCGAAAAGAAGTATTTTCTGAAGAAACAGTTCCTTTTTGCCGATTTTTGGATTTTGAAGACTTGAAGTGAGATGATCTATTTTTATATACGGAAAAATATGAGTCAGTCAGCAGAGATGCTAAACTGCTATGTATGCAAAGAAAGTTGTATTTCTGAGGAGGACAAGACCCAAATCTTTGGATGCCGTTGCGACTCTTGTGGCAAATCTATATACAGGAGCTGTAGTGACATAAAAACTGCAACAGAAGTTCGAGTACTGCTACTACAAAATCGTGCCTGTTTATTCTGGTGTCCCAATTGCAAGGAGCCTCTCAAAAATCCAGTTCAGTACTCAGTAGTAGAACATCCACTGCCCGAGCAGTCAATTCTAAACAAGTGAGTGGTGAAGATGCAGTTCAAGTTGAAAATTCCCATCTTAAATTGCTTGACAAGGAGATGGATAACAAGAATGTTACCCTGAAATCTAACAACTGCTTACTCGAGCAAAGGATCAAGACTTTGTAGTCAGAAAGTGTAGCTACCAAGAATGCCACAACCGGAATAAGTGCGCCTGAGTCTCCAGGCAACAGCTGAATATTGAGGGTCCCTTCCAGGAACATAAAGAGAGAGAGAACCGTTAGCAAAACTTTATTCTTCTTAACTGCCCTGGATCGACAACAAATGTCAAGGAAATTGCTGTCCAGGTGGCCAACCAATGCAGGTCAGACCAGGAGTGCCTGATTGCTGTTACAGAAATTCAAGCATTTAGACTGGGGAAAGAAGTTACTTGGAAAAATAGGTATGTGAGAGTTATCTGCAACTCACATCAAATCGCCTATGGAATAAAACTTAACTCTAGGAAAATAAAAGGTAATCCTAGCCTTGCTCACCTATCAATCAGCGATGATAACACCTCCCAGCAATTATAGGATTTTCGTAAACTGAAGCATGAAATAGAAGAACGCACAAATGCTGGTAAGAAAAACTTGAAAATTATGTACAAAAATGGGATACCCAAGATCATTACCAACCGGCATGATAGTAATTTAAACTAATAGATTTGTCCAACAGGATTATTACGGTTACCTTCCAAAATACTACAGTTTATTTTTTCCCAAGATAGATTTTGACAATGAAAACTTTGAAACATAAACAATGCCGCTTATTGGTTGCAAGATGCGGTGTACCTGCACTCCAATGTAAAAGGATATCTCACCTGCAGGGACACGGCAGTTTGCGACCAATCAGAGCCACGCGGTATTGTTTATGTTTCAAAGTTGACAATGTCAAAATCTATCTTGGGAAAAAATAGAGTGTATGGGCCTAAATGGCAAGACACGTGATTTTTTTAAAGATGTGTCTCATTGTGATAGACAGTTAGTGGTGGTTACTGAGACATGGTTACAGGACGGGGTTTATGACCACGAGATATTCAACGCTAACTACGTCGTCTACATGAAAAACTGTAGCTTGGATGTTATGAACGTGACAGGAGGAGGCGTCCTACTTGGTATTAGACATGATATAAATGCGTCAAGCTTCATTTTAAAAACCATTTTATATTATTATATAGGATTTCTCTAGTCTATAATTTGAAATTACAATTGTCTTTTTATTGGGATTATCCTGTTAGATAATGAATGAATAAATAAATAAATAAATAAATACCGACAAAAGTCGTAATTTCAACAAAAAAAAAATGTTATTTATGCTAAACAGATAAAAGACAGTCGAAACGTTGCAACAATATACCAAAATGTAGGTAGGGACCAAAAGACAATACAACTCCAAGTTTTTTTATTCAATTTTTGAGATGTTTCTGCTACTATTTCTATTGGCCTGGCTTTTCTTGTGAAAAATTTGAACGACTCTGTTGGATCGCAAATTACTAATCTGCAAACTGCGATGGATACTTTTGCCACCAATAAATTTTGTACAAATTATACATATTAATGTAATTAAAAAAAAAAATTCGCATGGTTATTATTTTTCCCTAAACTAGAGTCGAAGCGAAAAATTTATGATGCCAGAGGTACCACCAGGAGTTCGGCCAACAGATCCTCAAGGAACTACAGGAGCTATTTTGATATGCACAACCCATTCTCGCAACGTGCCTTCGGTACTTATTTTTATTTATTTTTTGTTTTTTTTTAAACTGCTAATACAAGATTTTTTGTTCGTTACGATGAAAATCAGAAATTATATTGGTGCCCGTAAAAAAATCTAATGTAACTTTGATTTCTGATTTTTGTGTGTGTCTGTTTTTGTTCTAACACGTCATTGCGATATTGTATTTAGCAGTATTGGTTTTTGTTGAAATTTTGTGGAAAATTCAATGCTAGATTTATGTAAGGCTAATTAACCATAATAACTAGAGTTGATAATATTTACTTCAGATCCCTTCCAACCAGTTTTATTATATTTTGTTTATGTTAAATTAAATTTAAGCTTGTTTTTTTTAATTTACTAACTTCTTTCACACAAACATTTTTTTTTGCCAATAACGTTTTAGCTTTTCGAGTTTGGTTTCCAAGGGCTGTAGCAGTAAAAGGACATGGCTCTTCGGCGCAACAAATAATTCTTTTCATTACAAAAATAAAATTAACTTACAAATTTTTTTTTCTTACAGACAAAAAGAGACGCATGTACGACCAGTACGGAAAAGATGGTTTACTCAATGGTGGTTCAAGAACTAGGAGCCGTCATGAGGACGAATTCGATTTTGGTTTCAACTTCTTCTCATTCAGAGACCCCGAGGATGTTTTTAGAGAATTTTTTGGCGGCAGCGGCAGTGACGTGTATGATCTCCTAAATGGTATGCTTATATAATTTACTATCGAAAAGTTCTTTCTGCACATTTTTTCGTTTTTAACCTGAATTGATTTTTTTTTATGACATTTTGGCTGCTAGATCAATGAGAAGTTAATTTCCCTTTGTATCATTTGTTTGTTAATGAGGTCAGTGGCCTCCCAACAATACATACACCTTCCTATTGATTCATCATGAAATAAGTCCGCGACAATCAGCTCCTTGAAATATAATTTCAATATTAAGGAGGAATTTCCCATTCCGGTCAATTAAGCTATAAGGGAATTGCGAGAGCAATTAATTCTATGTTTGCCTCTAAAAACTAAAAATGGCTCGACCTTCAAAATGCCAAACAGAATTTCACTGTAAAAATTTGTGACTAAATGTCTTCTAGGCTTACCAGCCCCCTTTTTCCATAGTTTTTTTTCAACAAAAATTAAAAATAATTGGTTACAAATAATCAGATTTTGAACAATTTGCAAACTGTTTTCCAAGACTCTGATTAGCTCCGACTGATTTCCTAATCCCTGTTAAATAAAAAGTGGTCGAGGTTACACTATCAAGTATCAAATGTGATGTTTTGTTTATTTTGTAATCTAGATTTACATCATCCCCATCGTACCGAGCGCCTTCGTCATCATCACCACCGCAACAGACATTCCCATCCCCAAAATCAACTAAGTAGCCACGGATTGTTTTCACCTTTCAGCCTGTTAAGTGGAGGGTTTATGGACGATTTCTTCGGACAGGCGGCGGCTACAGGACACGGAGGACATGGTTTTCAATCGTTTAGTTCAGTGAATAGTACATTTAGCAATGGAGCTGGAAGTATGAGTGGTGGTAACGTGAAACGTACGTCGACGTCCACTCGGTTTGTGAATGGCAAAAAGATCACCACCAAAAAGTAAGAATATTTTTATAATTTATTAGAATTCCTATTTGGGTTATCTAAAATTATTGTTTCTTTCTTTGCAGGGTATTCGAAAACGGTAAAGAAACAGTGATGTCCTACGAGAACGATGTATTGAAATCAAAGACTGTCAACGGAATTCCTCAAAGCCTCACTTATAGCTAAGCTGGGCATTAGCCATAATTGTTTTCGCGCTATTTTCAGTCTGAAAACTAGTATGGTACAACCACCAAAATTAGCAAAAACCAGTCACATGTAATCTTTTTATTTGAAAAAAAAAATCATATTTTGACTATATTTATGTAGTAATTATTAAAAATAATGTGATTTTTGAAGTTAAAATGATTTCCAATTAGGTTTCTTCAAATGAGGGCCAGTAGCCATCAATAGAAATTGTTTGTCTCAGTTTTATTTTAAGAAGCTGTGTTTGATTTAATAATAGACTTCTATTTTTTTATCTCTTGTTTATATATTTTGAATTTGTATTATAATTTTATTTTCAGAATTTACTCTGTGTACTTTAATAAGATTGTTCGTGTCAAAAGTTGATAATGATAACCAGATTTCTAAAAAAAAAAAAAAAATATGAAAATAGGTACTACATATGTAATATTTTTTTGAATAAATTGTAGTGCTGACATTTTAGCAGTAAAAAAATGGTATTGTTCCCTCATTGACTAGAAGGGGCAGTACCCCATTTGAAATAATTGTACTTTATCTTTTCATATCTAAACAAAAGTTATCATGCACTATTATAATAAACTCAATGGACTTGTTCAGGTTGTCCCAATTATATAACCAATTTTTACTTATAATGGTTTTTTGGTACCTCTTTTTCTTCATTGGAAAAATAAATATTTGCAGAATTCAAAGTTAAGGAATTGAAAAATATGATTTGAGTCTAGGAATATTACAACTTTATTGGAATTTAGTTCAGGGCCGTATCTAGACCAAAATTTTGGGGGGGGGGGGGGTTAGACAAAGTGGCAAAAAAAAATTGTTACACTAGTAATAAAAATAAAAAAGTATTTAATAAGTGTTGTTTGTTTTTAAGTTAAATTTTTTGAATTTTATTATTTTTTGGGGGGGGTTTGAACCCCCCCTAGATACGGCCCTGATTTAGTTCATGCATTCTTTTTTTCATCGATGTATCCACCTGAATCCACCATTATGGGACAGCCATTCCAATTTTCTATGCACCAGACAAAGATGAACTGGTCATCAATGGATCCACCAATAAAAAAAAGAATGTGCCCATTGTCATGTCTGAAAATTTAATTTAAGGAACAAAATCAAAATAATATCCAGTATTGCAAGTCGATGTTATTGAAAAACCGATAGTTATCTCGTATGGCTTGAAAATTGATTCTTAAATTGTGCAAAAAAAAAACTTCAGCAGGGTATTAAAAATACTGGATCAAAAAAGCCAATATCATGAATAGGTACCTAAGCTAAATTATTGGTAACAATCCATCCCTATATAGAACTCGGATGCCTTTTTCGATAAAACACAAGTTGAATTAATAACAAAGTAGATAGAATAGGTACCAAATCTATTATAATTTAATTATGAAAAATTTAAATTAAACCATTAACAATATGTGGATGAGCCCCAAGGATAATACACTCTACTAAGGATTACTTATCGGCCTTGTTTTGGTAATCGCGGCTATACTGGTGTAGCAGTGTAGAGCACCATTGTCAACGTGATTAACTAAGTCATCAGCTGTTTACTCCAGCGGTCGTACTTTAGAATTTAAATTTATGATGAAAAGTATTATTAAATTTTGATTAACATAATAGGAAGATTCAGACGAAATCCAAAAAAGCGTTGATTTAGAATGTTAATTAATGTAGTAAAACCAAGTATGCATAAAGCTAAAGCCCGCGGAATCATAACCTATGGTGTAAACACATTACTGGTGAGGGGCTTGAGATTTGAATTAAACAGGCCTTATGAGGATAAGCTATCCTATAGTAGTAGTGTGTATGCTTAAAGCTATCAAATGGGTAATAAATTTGACAGCAATACGCTAAGGGCACAACCCAATAAACAAGATATTTTTGAGAGGAGTCAACCAAGATTCTTTTTTGTTGAATCATAGTGAAATTTCTGAATCCAAGATTCTGGTAGGCGAAGAATGATGTATGTAGCGGAGAAGTAGTTTCTGGAAAATCTTGTGTTCAGATTTCAAAATCAATTAGGTACCTACCTATTCATTTACCATATAACATTTATTACCACAACACATAACAATTGCAGCGTCATCTTGCCTAATTTTGAAAAATCATCATGTGTGAATCCACTAGACTCACCATGTTTGAGTCTACTGGACTCACGCTAGTGTGAATACTGAGGAATGTTTACTGGTACCTTCCTATTAGAAAATTTCAAACAAAGAGGATGCCAAGAAACAACACTCTATAAACGTAAAACTTTGCGTATTTCTATAACCTTGAATGAAGTTTTTCTTTTTTATGTAAGTATAGGGATTGTCCTGTATATTTCCCCACTTTTGGCAAAAAATAATCTGATCATTCAGTTCTTAACTTTCAAAATGCCACTTTATTTCGAGGAAAAAGAATAGGTACTTATTTATTATAAAATTTATATGTAGATATTTTTTGGTTGTAGATATACATCTTTAGTGAAAAGCCATCATGCTCAGAAAATTAAAGAAACGATATTGTCTCAACTATTTACTACCTACTATTAGCTAATTTATATGTTTGATCCAACCAATCGAGTCAGATATCAGGGCCATTAGGCATTTTTCAAAAAACAATGTCTGACTCCAGGTTGAAGTAAACTTACATTTTATTATTTTTATGCAAGACTGCTAATTTTAAAAACTAAATGAGCTTATTGAGCTTGTTCTAATTTCAAAATCACTATAAGCGAATTTTATAATTACTATTAATGTGGATGGAAATTGAAAAATCCGATTATACCATAATAGGTGTTAAAATTCTAGGATAGTTGATATAAAATATTTTACCTACTATTAGTTTTAATTATAGAATTTAAATAGTTTAATTTTATATTATTGGTGTAATAATTTATGTTGTTGTTACAATTTTTTTTGGTTTATATTTCACTAAATAAAATATAATTAGGTAAATTGTATCAAGTACCCTCAATCCCCAAGTCGCACACAAGAAAATGTTCATAAATAAGCTTGCAATTGTGTGCACGTACAGATTCGTAATAATAATATGCAAATAATGATCATATGATTAATAATACAAGGAAAAATAAAGATATTGATTCGATTTTGTGTACATTTTTATCCTCCGAATGTCTGCGAAAAATATGAGAATAGGCCAATTTTATCAAAAGCCTAAACACACTGGTTTGACAGAACCACAGACAGAACAAACTGCTTATGTAAGAAACGAAAAACCCTTTTGTGGGGTCTTTGTGAACTACGAAAACCATATCGGCAACACGCTAAAGCTTTGGTAGCAACAAGTACCTACTTTGTCTTGAAGGAAATTTTTACCAGCCAATATGTAGCCTTTCACTTGAAAATCATCGATTGTCATTTTCCTACCTTCCACAAGCTTCTGCCATCCAAAAGATGCTGACCGCATAGAGCATTTTCTCAAGACTAAAGAAATAGACAATTTACAGATTGGAAACTATAAGTAGCAGCTTCATTTTGTAGATCCAACTTTACCAAAGGAGGTTCATTGATAATGCTGGAAAGGGGGTCAAACTTTTCCGAGTTAGTAAATGTTAAACAAATGAATGTGGAGAAATGCATTGAAATTTGTGGGGCAAAGTCAGTTACTTGCAATCTATGAATTCTTTCTATCTATCGTTGTTTAGCAAGAGATTTTACTACCTTTTTGAATATACTTGATCACATTTCAAGGCAGATTGACATTCAGAACAGAATCATTGTAGCAGGTGATTTCAAGGTCAGATTTTGCACGGAAGACAGGATGTCCAGGGACCTAATTGACATGTTTACATCTTATGAGTTATCACAAACCATTTTTCAGCTCAGCCTACACTACTACTACTCAATGTTTCAGGATTACCTAATACTTTTACCTGACACTCAACGCGTTACCAGCAACACCACTCCTCCTTCTGAATCGTGGTGTTGCTGCGTAGCGCGTTTCGTGACAGGTAAAAGTATTATCCGGTAATCTTGAACCTCTTGTGGTATTACATTCGATAACATCTTCATTAATTTTTCAGAGGATGATTTTGAAGCATCTATCATAAGTCCGGGTAAGTCTGATCATGATGGTCAGCTGATCACAGTCAACTACGCTCTCAAAAAAAAACACTAGCACAATCAGAAAAAACTTTGTCAATCTATTACGCAGACGGGAAAAAACAAATTCTTTGAAATCATTGCTAATGTCGATTCTGGCTTCATTGATCTATCCTCCTTAGAGTTTGAGACCCTCATGCAGTTGCTTGAGTCCGCTTTCAATAATGATTCGTTCCCACAAAAAAACATGTGAAGTTAAAGCACAGCATACAAATAATTTTGACTGGTTTAGCCATGATTTAAAAAACTTGCGTGAACATTGGCAATATATGAATGATCTTTACAAACATTTCCCGAATAACCAACTAAAAGCTTATATTCAAAATTTTCGGAATGATTATAGAAAGGCAATAAAAACTGCATAATTCAAAAGTAATGATCGGAAAATTCAAAACGCATCAAACCCAAGCAGGTGCATGTGGAAGATCATTAGTCAAATACAGACACCAACATCAATGCACAGGAATTTAATAAGTACATTGTTAGTATAGCAATAGATCTGTAAAAACAAATTCTCATCGAAGATATAATTCCTATAGATTACTTACAAAACCTACAATTTACGGACGTGAATTCTCTTTCAAGGAACGGTGATGGACGATGGACGGCCTAAAAAACAAGACTAGCAGAGACATCTATAATCTAAATATCAACTTGATAAAGGGTGTCAAGAATTTGTTGCCTATACCGTTGACAAAGTTGATCAACATGTGTATCAAACAAAATACATTCTCAGACTGCCTGAAAATTGCCAGAGTCGCACCTATATATAAGAAAGGGGAAGCTAACGATCCTGGGAACTACAGACCCATATCTCCTTCTACCCTCTATATCAAAAATTGTTGAAAAATGCCTTAAAATTCAGATGTCATAACATATGGAAAATGAAGGATTCTTAAATCCAAATCAGTTCGGTTTTAGAGAGGGAAGAAATACTACTTTGGCAGTTTTGAAGCTGGTTGAAAGTATAACGGAGGGGTTTGAGAGCTCTCAGTACATAGTTTCTACTTTCTGTGACCTAAGCAAGGCATTCGACTGTGTTTCTCACGACATTTTACTGGACAAATAACCCTACAATAAATTTTCAAATAACAGCATAAAACTAATAAAGTCGTAAAATCTAAGAACAAATATCCCCCGGCACAGATGAGAGGCTGTGACATTTGGTTGATAGATGGAGAGACACTCGCTCTTGAGACAATTCTTCATATTCGCATTTTCTCGTAAAAGGAGCATTGATGCAATAGTTATAGGAAATGGTTTATGAAAGGTGAAAATTTTACTTCTTTTGATTGTGTTGAAAAGTCCCTTCGCTGGTTTGTGGCACATGAGCTGAAGAGATACAACATCGATATCGCTGCTCTAAGTGAAACGAGACATTCGGACGATGGCCAACTCACAGAACTTGACGGAGGAAAAAATTAAAATGAGCCCCGCATCCACGAAGGTAACCCATCGGTAATCTTGATACGTCTCCTTCTTGTCAGTGGAAGACTCATTTATCTCCGTGAACAATCAAAGAATCACTATAATCAGTGCATACGCCGCAACATTAGATTATGGCGATAACAAAAAAAGATAGTTCAATACCCATCTAGACATACTTACCTCATCAGACAAAGTAATTGGTAAGGAAGCTTCAACGCCCGAGCCGGCAGTGACTCCGCCTCTCGATGGCAAGGACTTCAAGCGGAGGGTATAGGTAATAGGTAATATTGATTCAGATGAAATCCCTCTACTGACCAAATGCTCAGCGCACGATCTCGTCATTACAAATAGGTAGGTACTCTTTTACGTTAGAAGTGAAGGCTGACCAAAACAAGACAAACATCCAAGACCAAAGCACTACCTATACCTACAATATAACGTAAAATGCAATCACAAGAGGACCGGTTGGCAGTTTCCTGGACCTCAGCAGAACTTGGTTGAAAAGTTTAGTAATCAGTAATCAGTGGCAAACTGAGGCAAACAGTGATGCCTATGGTGGGGGAAGGGTCCTCTGGGAATTGGAACAATATCTCTCCAATTATTCTTCATTGGGAAGCTAGGTAGAATTGGAGAAATATACATACTTAGGCATAGGCCGCAATGACAAACGAGTCGCATTGTGAAAAGCCGTATTAATTCACTTTTGACTTAATACCTAACCTAACCTGATGAGTAGGTACCTACCTATGTTGGGTAATTATGGCTATCTCTGGGAAGAAATGGAGAAGTTTCATAAAACAAAATACTAAAAATATACAAATAGATACATTTATTTAACAAATCGTGAATAAATACCAGATAGATTTTAATACATATAGTGAAAACCCACAAATATTTAGATATAATAATATTATCATTTTATCATCAGTTTTGGTTAAAATGTTTATAAAATTTGTACAGTATAATAGTGAAATAATAAGCAAAAAACAGTAATAGTGTTTAAAAAGTATGTAAAAACACACAACAGTATCATAAATGCTATAATATTTATTTAATATTATTGACTTATATTTTTTATACCTACCTATTTATTTTTTTTTACTATTATTTCCTTATATTTTCAAATAGGAATAGTTTAGGAGATATGTATCGGTAAGAGAGAAATATTATATTCTTATCAATCAATAGTTTATTCCTAAGTTCCTAAGTTTAGCAATGGACTCTTTCACTAATTTTTGAAATTGAAATTCTATGTTTAGGCGTTTTTAAACATAGAAACTAATTACTTAGGGATTCAAAAGAGTTCATAACATTTTTTTTAAAATTATTATTATACACAATTAAAATTTATTTCTTGTAATCAGTTTAATTTTTTTTACTCACGACGCACTACATTTATACACAACTAGCAACAGTGCAATCAAAGCTTGAAACCAGTGGCCACCAGAACAGCTATTCGTGTGGAGTCTTCTCAAATTTGATTAGTAGAAGATGCTCATATCCCTAAACGTCATCGTTTGGCGCGTTTTAAAAATTTAAGATTTTTCCACTTTTGAAGTGGCATTAGAAAACTCATCTGAGCTCGTAGATTTTTTTTTTTTCGCAAATATACTGGCCAAAATAGTTCCTCATTCATGATTTTATGCTTATATTACGTAGGTAAGTATTTGAATTTCAGTGAAAGAGCCCATTTCATGAAAAACCAATTTGTTATAACAACAGTCACAAAAAATATCAATATAGGTTGTAGGGGTTTTAAATAACTCAAAACTCCTGACTCGATCGCAATTTTTTGTTGAAACAAACTTTAAGTACAGTGCTGGACAAATGAAGTCGATATGTATTCAATTTTCCAAAAATCATTTTGGGATCGAATATGTATACCTACCTATAGGTATCTCGCCAATAAAAAATTGTATCGATTTGAGATTTTCAAAGATTGATGGTTAGAATTAACGATTTTAAAAAATATTGTATTCAGGATGGAAATGCAAAACCACTGCATAAAGTTGAAATATTTGTTTATACCGAATATTTCCAAAAGACAATTTCAACAGTTTTGGAAAGTCCAAAAATCTGCAAAGGTTCAAAAAATATAGCGATTTCTCCTTAAAATTATTATTTTTTTTCACCATAACTGACCTGTGATTTTTCACCAAGACTTTTTTTTCAACATCCTACGCACATGAAGTGTTAAAAACCAAGTTCGCGGTTCGAAAAATATCCGAAACTTTAATTAGCTTATAAAATATATTAAAATTCTTAAGCAATCGTAGCCTACTATTTTTTCACCAGATAGATTTTTGTTAGAAAGTTTTTACAGTAAATGACCAACGTGAATTCAGGGACACAACAGTCCCTGTTTGGGAATCGACCCACTGAGCAGTGGACTCAGGCTTCCCGTGCCAATCCTTGAAGCGTTTTGTCCTTATTAGGACTCATCAGAAGGACATAGGCTGAAGCTCCCTGTCCAAGCAAAATTGAACTTCGTTGACCAGTCAGAAACAACTACTCCGAGGGCAAATACCCCTACCGGCGTTGAGCTACACTGATTGGTCTGAGCTTTCGTTGGCAATGAAAATTGTTAGAAAGTTTTTTTGACAGGTAATGACCAACGTGAATTCAGGGACACAACGGTCCCTGTTTGGGAATCGACCCACTGAGCAGTGGACTCAGGCTTCCCGTGCCAGTCCTTGACGCGTTTCGTCCTATTGTTAGGACTCATCAGAAGGACATAGGCTGAAGCTCCCTGTCCAAGCAAAATTGAACTTGAAAGATAGATTGAAAGATAGATTTTTACTTGAACTTGGTTATGGTCAACACTTTATTTGTCTAAGAATTTGACAGAAAAAAAGTCCTGTTGAACATCTCTTACATGTTATTATTCTTTTTAAAGAAATCGCCAAATTTTTCAAACCCTCGCAAATTTTTAAAAACCGTTGGAACGGTTTTTTGCGAATGATCAGTAGACAACTCCACCACAAGAAATTATATTTGAAACCGTTTTTGAAAATGCATGCATGCATTTTCATTTTTCACCCCATATCAGTGGCGTAACTAAGGGCCCGCAGTCGCGGGGGGCCCCGTGATTCTGGGGGGCCCGCGGGGCCCCAGACCCAGGTGACAAGAAGTTACTAATATGCTAAACTTAAAGAAAATACTTTAACATATGAACCTCATAATACATACCTAGTCTACCATTGAAAAAATATGGACTCATTCAAATTAGTTATGGCATTTGCCAACCACAAGGCCCGCAGAAAGGATTTTTAGGTTTTGGTTTTCTCTTTGCTTTTCTTTTATTTTACTTCACAGGGGTTTTTCTTCTTTTTTTGATATTTCCTTGTTCAGTGATATATCTATGTTATTTTTGTGTTTAAACGATGCGAGTGATGTTTTGTTTATTTATATTAATAGGTAGGGTAGATACCTAAATGCTATGTTATATTTTTCTATTTTTGTTTTTTGAATATACATATTAATGTTTTTTATGTTCCTCGTTTTGTAATATTTATCTACTATTTTTATTAGACATATGCTCGTAATTACCCCATGATCCCTTTTTTTTTATTCCCAAAATGTGATTTATGTCTGTCTTTTGGTTTCTTATTTTCAAACGAGTTTTTGAAAAACTGGAAATAAAAGCTTTGTTCCATTCTACTACACCTTACATGTAAATGCATATTATATAGATATTACCTATATATTTATATTAGAATTCAATAATACATTTGTTCATATACATATACAGGGTGTCCCACGAGGTTTTACCCAGGTGACTTTGTAACGTGTCATCGAATGCGAATCCACTTTCTAATTTTCTATCATTTTCTCCAACAAAGCCTTAACAAATATGGCATTGCCGATTTTGTGAAAAATGCCATACATTATATACCATAAGTTACATTTACATTTGATATTCTAAAGTTGCCGTCACTTAACCGAAACTGGAGCAAATAAAGAAATAGGATGACACATGCAGAACCGGCACAAAAAGTTACACAGATCTTCAACATTTCAATTATATTAGATGACGCGTTACGAAGTTATCACTTGGGTGAATCGTCGCGAAACGCGGTAAGAAAAACAAAAATAAATAAAATATACCAAACATCTGATGGGCCCCGGGAAAATCCGTGCGGCGGGGGCCCCGAATTTGAAGTTACGCCACTGCCCCATATGTGATATTTGTTGCAATTTATTATATTTATTATTTTCAATGAATGGAACATGGTCCAGAAAAACAAAATTGGATATGTATATTTTGTGAAAAAATTGAAGCTCAGGGAAATTTCCCCCTTCAGGAAGATCTAGTTCAACCTTTTATATCTATCTTCTAGCAAAATATTCTATTTTAGTTCTTTTAGGGAAACCCTGGTGTGCAATGTTTTTTAAACACGAAACTTTGTATACACTGACCTATGAAAAATTAAGTGTGTGGTAATTAAATCTGGCAATATGTATTTAAGATTCAGTGAAACAAATTTGTTTGTCAAATAAAAAGTCGATCATTTCCAATATTTATCTAAATTCTAGTTTCAGAATTTATTTTCTTAGTGTGACCAACTAACACAAAAAGCTGCCTTTTTAAAAAAACGAATTTTTCCTATGCGTTTTCCTACTTTCACATCATACACCCTTTCTAAATTTCCATGTACAATTTTCAAATTTGACTAAATACCATTTTTATTCCCTTACTTTATTTACCATACACTACATTTATTGGTCGGGTTCATGGGGGAACCCGGTGGGCAGTTGTACGCTTCTGCGAAATCTTTGGAGTTCGAGAGCGGGCCCAAAACCCGAATGGGCCCAGGGGAATGGACGCTTGATCTTACTTTGGTGAGAGCATCTTCTGGTCTCATCGAACCACACCAAATTTGGGCGTAATTAAGAAAGAATAGTTGGTCGTGGGTTAGGTTCAAACCCGGTAAATTGTCCTCTTCGCCATGTATGGCAACCCATTTCTTATAGGCCTAATGAAAAAAGAAAATGTATCAAGAAAAGAGAGCAATATCAAAAATTAAATCATTTGTCAGTTCTTTTGCTACTTACCAATTCGTAAAATATAGGTACATAATATTTGTTGACCCATTTAAATAGGGCATTGCATTTTATAATAACTTTGCAAGGAAGAATTAATGCAATGCCATATTTTAGCAATGTTTATTACCGTTTTTCATAAAATATTATTGCTTATTGTAATTTTGTTGATAAATGCCGTTTAAAACGTAGAATTATACTTGTATTAGAGATATAACAGAGCCAATAGCGAAAAAATAATCTTCAGTAACCTGAAAATTGTAGGAAGTTTATTGGGACCTAGTTAGTTCTCGAACATAGCATATTCAACATTGCGAGTTTATCAACTGACTTTTATCAAGTTTCCAGCATTTCTCAAGTCAGACTGAAAGTTCATAAACTTTGAGTGGCATTTCGACAAGCAGAGCTCAATTAATCACAAAGTTTTAAATGATTAAATTTGTTTTGAGTTTGAAAATATTCCCTCAAAAGTTTTTCACTGTAAGTCCAAGTTAATATTTAGTTTAAGTATATTTCCGTGTCGTTCCTTAGGTTTTATGAGACGGTAAAAAGATTTCCCAAGTCTTATTCGTATGGTATGATAATTCTTCTGAAATGTTCCAATCAGTGGCGTATCTACCGGTGTGCCATGTGTGCGAAGCACACAGGCCCGGCTCCAGAAAGGGCCCGTGAACTCCACAGCGAAACTTCAAAAAAATGTTTTAAAAGATAATAGAATTAAAATCATTAATTGGGTTTTTATTTTTTTTCTGGTATAATGATAAGTAATATGGGCAATAGTCTATCTAGCTACGCGCAAAAAAATACCGGCAGCGGTAGGTATAATATTTTTATTCTGACTTGAAACACTGCATTATACGAGGATGTTTCAACATCACGTTGCTCTTCTTCTAATAATTTCATAGAGAATCTATTGTAAGTTTCCCTGTACAAAATATAAGAAGCGACGAAATATGGCTACAGTAGCCCAGGATAATAATTTAGGTCGGCACATGCCTATAGGTTTAATTATTGGGGTGGGCTACTTAGGTCCTCCCGGGAACGATGTAGGTGCACCTGCTGACTAAACTACGCGATTTCTATAACCAGTGTCATCCCAATTTACATATTATCTGCTATTTTATTCCACGTATTATTTAGTTGTGTTGTTTGATATTGATTATCACCATTTTTAAAGAAATAAAAATTATGTGACGCCCATGTCCTCTATTTGTTTGATGTATGGCGAATGCCGACTAGATGTTTTTTTAATGTTTCAAGTCGGATTAAAAATACTATACATAGTTATTCATACCACTTTTGATGACACAAATGGTGAATTCACAATTTGAGGTTTAAATAAAAATACCTAAAAAAAAATTTTAGGCGTGTTTTTTGACCGACTTTTGAGTCAAAATTTGGGCGTGGCACCCAGAAAAAAACTTTCACCTCCGGCGGTGGAACTGTAATGGGCCTGCGGAGATTTTGGCACACAGGCCCGGAGCTGAGTTGATACGCCACTGGTTCCAATGTCCATTAGTAGGTACCGTTGGGCTTTGATTGTCATTTTTTATGTTAGGTAGGTACAACAGAGTATTTTTATCATCAGATTTGAAAGAAAAAGAACACCGAAATATGACTTACCCTGAATGATTGCTTAAGTCCTCCATTATCAGCAATATTCTCGCCCTGTGTCATACGTCCATTGACATAAAGTCCGACTTCGTCAATTTTGTATCGCGAATACTGATCGATTATGCACTGAGTACGTTCCCGAAAAGCGCGTATTGTAGCGTTGTTCCACCATTGCATCATGTTACCGTATTTGTCAAATTGTCTGCCTGAAATTATTTTTACTGAGTATTTTTTTTTTGTAGGATAAAGCGGAAAAATTGTGCCCATTCTTTATTTATTTTTTTAAATTGAAATGACAAATCAAAATAACATAACGTTTCAACCGAAATAATTTTAAATGGCAAATCCTGTAACCTCAAATTAGTTTGATAAGCCTCAACGTGACAATAAATCCCTTGAGGTTTAATTGAATTTGGTAACATTCAGTAAAATTCAGGTCCATTCTTACCTTTATCATCAAATCCATGAGTTATTTCATGTCCTATTACCACACCAATCCCACCGTAGTTCAAGGACTTGGGAAAATGTTGGCTGTAAAAGAGTGGCTGCAAAATTCCTGCTGGAAATACTGTAATAAAAAAAAAAGATAATTTCAAGTCCGAAAATTTTTAAGATACCGTACCAATATCATTCTTGTTGGGGTTGTAAAAAGCATTCACCACCGCTGGTTCAGTAGACCACTTGTCTTTATCCACCGGTTGTCTTAGCTTGCGCAAATTTTGTTCGGCGTCGAATTTGAGGATGTGCAAGATGTTTCTCATAAAGTCTCTTTTTGTTACGTTTAGCTAGAAAATAAATTTAGTTAGTAGATAGGTACCTAGTTATTATGTGATTTGGTTATGCAGGTTTTCGAGTCGATTTATTAAAAAATCACATAAAACCAGAGGTATCATAGTCACAACGATTTACAGATATGAGGAGTTACGACAAGAACTTATCTAGAGGTAGATGAGGTATTGATTTTGTTAGTTTTCAAATAACCAAACTATAAATTTGGCTGCGGATTTCAATGTAATAACTGCATGTGCAGACTTTTTTGTATATGAAATTTTAGTTTTTTTTTTAAATGTAGTTCAGACTTTGCACATGGTCCATGGATGCAAAACTTAATTCTCAACAGCCAAATAATATTGTAAACAAAGAGTAAATTTCGTAGTCTTTGCAATATAATTTAGTTTGTCTCCCATATACATACTTATAACCTTAAGACCGAATATTTCAAATAACTTGGTTTTGACGCGAGATAATATCTGGAATTGCAAATGGCTACAGGCTTAACTGTTCGCATATTTGATGCATACCGTCGTTGCATACATAATACCTAACCGAACCTCTTCGTTAATAGAAACCACGAAATGTCTGCCAAATTAAACCACCAACAAACCTACCTCAAACCCTTCCACATGCGATCACATAACTAAATCGAAATTTTTTTCCTGCTCAAAACCGGATAATTGAGGATTTCAATTTGATCGGTTAAGTAAATAATTAAATTAACGATTTGTTTACGTGCGCTGTTTCATCGTCATTTTTTTTTGTTTGTTTTTCATCACTGATAAGCTCGGATGAGCACTACGTCATCAAAATTGAACTTTTGACAGTTTAAATAGACACCGATAGATTTTCGACAGTTGTGGCTTCCAAATTTGCTTCCAATTTCAATTAAGCTTTTTTTTTTTCATCAAAATGAACTCAGTTTATGGGATTTTGGCTCTCCGTTAAATTTGCCGTCATGGACCCAGGGATAGAGAAGGCGTTTTTAAGTGTTTAGGGGGGTGGAAAGGGTGATGAGAACCAGGCCTGATAATTCAAAATTTGAAGGTGACAAAGAAAATTAGTAAATACAAAAGTTGTAAAAAATGAACGAGAGGACATTGGATGGTGGCCTTGAAGTTGACCTTGATACGCGCATAAGTGCAGTGACAAGGAAGCATGAATTCCTGTTCGGCTGTAATATATTTTCAATTTTTCCTCGAAATAAGAATGTCATTAATTCAATCAAATACGACATAAGGCCTTCTCGGAAACGCTGATTCGATTCACCTCATCACCAGCTGTTCGTTTTTCATCTTTCTTTAATGAACATATGATTGAAAAAAGACAAAGTACATCAGCTGCTGATTCGGTTAATCGGATCAGCATTTCCGAAAGGGCCTATAATGAACGACTTGGTTCGAACGACGACGTCAGTCTTGGGTTAGGCCCCTTAATTTGGAGCTAGACTGGAGTCTAGAATCCCTGTAGTATATCTACTGAAACCCCCATTCATCTAGTTCAAGCAAGACTGCTTGTTTTTTTTTTAAATTAAAATACCCAATCAAGTATGAAAACTTAAACTGAAAATGTAGAATAATTATTTAACGTGACAACCACTTCCATGTCAACAAAAGACGGATTACCAATTCTTTTGTAGCAAACGCAATAGGATCGTTTGACACCGATGAGTGAGTTTATTATAGTACATTTGCTTACCGAAGCATATTCTTTGGTTAATTGCTCCTTATCCGTAATAAGCTTGGGATAGCCGATCCTTTCATTCATAGCGTCCGCTTTTTCTTTTGCTACGGACCGCGTCTCGTCGTCCATCCAGTCGTTTTCAGCGAGCAGTTCATTAAACGCTTCCCTTATTGTATGGATCATCTCAAGGGCCGTTTCCTGGAACAAAGCGAGAGCCCATTTACTAACAATACTTTTGAATACAGAAGGAAAAATAAATGTCTCTTGTCTTTGTTCTTCTTTTATAAAATGGGAATAAAAACTTACCTTACTGTCATGATTAAAATTATCTCTAACAAACAAAGCTCCAACGGCCATGCCCAATTTCTTGTTAGTCCATTCGACACATTGTGACCATCGATGCCGTTCACTTAGCACGCCCTGCAGGATTTTACGAAATTCTACTCTTTCCTTTTGGTAGTCGTCAATCATATGAGATGATAAGGACATAACTAATCTCCAGAGAACGTAATTATGGATTATTCTAGAAAAATAACAATGAATGGAAAAACAGAAACAGAAAAAAGCTCTTATTGCAGTGCCTATAAATATAATATCCACAGAAATGGCTGAAATTTTCGAGCTGCCCAGATACCGCAGTCCTGAAACGGTCTCCGTTTCCCCAAAGATCTGGCTGTCGTCAAAGTTTTGACAATTGACAGATAAACATTAGTATACCATTAAATTATATCTAGTACCTATCCATTTCTGTTACCAATAGATGGTTTTTAATGCACAAACATGTCCCAAAAGAAAAGTGATTTACTTACCTTCTATCAGTTTCTGCCAAAATTTTTCCCAACTCCACAAAGTAAGACAATCCATAAGCAACCACTGACTCGTCTTCGTCTATTTCAACATTCAAAAATGACTGGAAATATTCTAACCAATTGATCTGAGGCACTATCTGTTGCAATTCTTTCAATTTTAATTTTCTGTATATAATGCTAGTGTCATGTCTGTCTTGTTCTGGTAATGATGCCTAAAACGCAAAAATGCACTGATTCAAAAAAACAGATTTGCTGAAAAAGAGATGCCAATCACCAACCACTTAACACCACTTGTGATCAATAGGAGAAACTGTGATAGGTTTGTGATTGTTCCTTGAACAAAGTTGATATCCTTACATTAGCTAATCGTCGTTCAAAATCGATAACACTCTGCAGTTCTTCGGAGGCAGTTGTCTTATTAGCTCCTAAAAGTACTGCTATGTTGGTCATGTACTTATGGTAAGCCTGTCTATCTCCTTCGCTACTCGATTTCAGATAGTAATCTCTACTGGGCAGCGCCAATGCCATTTGATCAATCTAGAAACAATAGTTTTAATTGAAAATGTTGACGATTAAATTCTTTCAAGATGTTATAAGCTATAATAGACAATTTGTAATACAGTTCAGCCTTTCGATTGGCATTATATTTTGAATCGCTTTTGGTATGTTTCTAATGAATGGAACACATTATCCATATCGTCAAAATCTATAATTTAAGCTAAAAGTTAGGGATCTGGCGCGTTTAAAATTTTGTCTTTGGTTAATAATTTTTTTTCTTTTTTTTTTTTGAATGATGAAATGGAGGTTATTTAAAGATATGATTCCAAATTTTTCCTTTGTTTCTGTTGGAAGTAACCATGTATGAATAAAACAGTTTGTTTTTGCTGAAAACTTTGACTGTCATTGGTAAGTGAAGATGGATTGATTGTATAAGTATATTTACAATAGAACCTCCTGACAGCTTTTCCTTGAACCCCACCACATACTATATTCTTGGCTTTGAACTGATTGTTAGTTTTTTAACAAAAAATAAACATCTATCAAAATTATGTTTATTCCCTGCAATAGATTGAAACTGTCCAAATATGTTTGTTAAAATGTTAACCATATATGCTTTTGAGTAACTACAACTAGCGATACAAAAAAAAAAACAACTTCCATTACAAACACCCGCGTCCAATTAGAAATAATTATTTTCAACTATCTATCGATTAACCATAGGACTCCCTAATGTACTCCGGACAAAATAATAAACAAACAAACGAACGTTTCGCTTTCAATTAATATTGCAATTTACCGTATTGTGATTGACACGTCTCAATTTAGAGATTTTGTTTTCAAATTGTTCAACTTTTGATTATTGATTTGGTTAATTTTTTTTTGAGAGAAAATAGAAACAAAAACTGTATTACCTACCGCCTACACACTTCTTACTTTGTGCGCACCTGGATGATGTTTACTGAGCTGTTCTTGTCGTCCGGTCCGACCCACTGTTCCACTAAAAATCCCTCGTTGTAGATACCCCTAATTTTGCCTAAAAGTACTTCCACTGAACTGTTAGGTGGGTACCAGCTTGGCTTTGTAATAGGCCAACCTCCAAGCGAATCGAGTACTGTTCGAAGTGGTTCATCTCCAAGTTTACGGATCTGAACTAGAAAAATGATAAGTGCAGTTTAGTCGTTATCGAAGTTATTTACGAGCAGGCAAACTTATAGTTACTGACGAAGAATTATGATACCTAAGTACGTATACAGAGTGGCAAAAAAGTCGTGCATAAGACCTGTAACTTTTTAATTACCTCGTATACGAAAAAGTGACCTTAATGAAAGTTGCTCAGTAAATTATTTCTCACATTTCTACCTAGACGAGACGAATTGTTTCTGTCACTTCTGGTTTGTTTGCTATCGAGACCAACTTTGTTTTTTCAAATGAAACACCCTGTATGTGATTGCATATTTGGATTCTGCTGAGAGAATTATGAGTTTTTTGTATTTAAATTCTCAACTATTTTCAACTGTTTCCGAGATAATGACAGCTGAAAAATTAAAATCCTAATTACTCAAGAATTTTACTTCCTAATACATACCAGTTGTGTCAAGGTGTTTTTGTGACAGCGAATTAAGAGGTGCCAATGTTGAGGCCCTAATTAATTTTCTGTCCAATATTTCTAATTTGCTTGCACTTATGGCTCATCTTAATGAAAAACAACAAATTGAAATTTTAATAATGAGCGGTTACGGAAATATGAAGAGATCTCAACATTACGTTTGTCAACTTTTCAATGAAATATATCCGAATAGGCCTCCAATAAATAAGTCAACCGTGTGTCGAGTGTTGAAAAAATTTCGAGGAACAGGCAGTGTTAAGGAGGCTGCTAGAACAGGTCGACCTAAAACAGCAACCGGAGAAGACAAAGCTTTGGATATGATGCTCTCAATACAAGAAACTCCAACACAATCGTCTAGGACATTGGCAATGGATTTTAATGTCTCTCATCAATCAGTAAAAAACTTGTTGAAGCAGCAGAAGTTACATCCCTATATAAGATAAAGTTGGTGCACGAGTTGAACGAGGACGATTTTGATAGAAAAACTGAATTTTGTGAGCTGATGATGGAAATATGCAATAACGATAATAACTGCGCAACAAACATAATTTTCTCGGATGAAGCCACTTTCCATTTGAATAGCGTTGTAAATCGACACAGTTATCGTTATTGGTCAGCTGAGAATACTCACTGGTTCCAGGAGGTTCATACTCAGAGGCCCGAAAAAATTTATGTTTGGGCGGGCATAGTTGGAAGACATATTGTGGGACCTTTTTTCATAGATGGTAATTTGAATGCCGAAAATTATCTGGACCTCCTCAACGATCACATAATTCCTTCTTGCAGAATGGTTTTACCGGGTATAAATAATAGAGTGAACGAACAGGTATGGTTCCAGCAACATGGAGCACCTGCGCATTATGTTAGGCGATTCATTGTTAGGCGATACATTAACGAACAATTTCCAGGTCGTTGGATAGGTAGAAGAGGTCCTATTGAGTGGCCAGCGCGATCCCCAGACTTAACCCTGCTCGACTTTTATTTGTGGGGATATTTGAAGAACAAAGTCTACGTTAACCGTCCAAATGACCTAGAATCTTTAAAAGTCAGAGTTATTGCTGAAATTCGGGCCATACCAGAGGACTTACTTTTAAACGTTGTAGACGGGTTCAGGGATCTCTCAGGGCGCTCTACTTAGCAGAAAATGGTGGTCATTTTGAACACCTGATCCATTGAAAACTTTTAATTTTTTAGGTTTTTTTTTATTATAAAGATTGTTACTAAAATTGACTTAATCGTTGTTAATTGTCATTATCTCGGAAACAGTTGATAACAGCTGAATATTTTTAATACAAAAAATTCATAGCTTTCTCAGTAGAATCCAAATATGCAATCACATATAGGGTGTTTCATTTGAAAAAACAAAGTTGGTCTGGATAGCAAACAAACCAGAAGTGACAGAAACAATTCGTCTAGGTAGAAATGTGGGAAATAATTTACTAAGCAATTTTCATTAAGGTCACTTTTTCGTATACGAGGTAATTAAAAAGTTACAGGTATTATGCGCGAATTTTTGGCCACTCTGTATATGCCTTAAAAAGAAGATAAGGTAAGTTATAATTTTTATGTTGGAATTATCATTATAATCATCTGAATTGAATACTAGTGTAAAATGAAATATATTGTGGTAATATTTTTCTAGTGTTTTTTTTTTAAACACAAAACATAGGAGCTCGCTTTATTGCTAGTGCATATTTAATGATAGAAGTTATAAGATAAATTAAAACTTAGAGAATTAGATACTTACAAATGTCCATGCAAGTATTGTAGAATGTTTTAGCTTTTCTAGTGGCATCATTATCTTCCAAGGTTAATGGTTCTTCAAGTACTCCTGGAAACAATAATTGCGAATAGAATGTTGTCTATAAGCCAGCAAATCTTTAAAAGAATTCATCCAGAATATCTTGGACAGGAAGCGAAAAACAAGATTAAAGAGAATCCAAAGGAGCCTTGCAGAACAAAGGGATTCTGCAGCTTGTTTTTTCGTTCTAAATTATTTTTTTTTTGTCCTTGGAATTATTTTAACGATCACCCAGTATAGCGCAGCTTCAGGTTGGAGGATTTGACGCTAGGATATAACTAATTCAAAAAGTCCGGATTTTCCCAAGGCTGTTCTCTGCCGCGAATTGATATTAAACATTTACGACGTCGACAGCACAATGCACAATGTTCCAAGAGTCAAGGCCTATCTTAAATAAATAATACTCTTGAGAAACGCACTGTATGTGTCATAGTTCCTTATAGTATATAGGTGTGGATATGGTCTCTCAGGGTTTGAGCTTATTATGCATGTAATACGTATAGGTATAGCCATGTAACCACGTTTGTAACGTTGGATAATAGTTAGCAAACTGGAGAAAAATAAATATTATTTCGATACAACATGGTCCAATAAGAAGGACAAAGCAGACCATTTGTCATACTTCCAATCAGATCTGTCTTTCTTGAGCTAATCAAAATTACACTATAATTGGTGTGAAACTTTAATAAAACCACACACCAGTATTGGCTTACATTTAGTTCTAGTGCCAAGGCTTGTCTTTTCGAGGAATTTTTCTTGACAATTTATTCTTGATAAAGATTTTTAATATAATATGTCTTTCTACTTACAGCGGGCTATTTTTCTAGTGACGTGATTTGGAAATGAAACTCAGAAATTAGGGAAGCAGTTTTGGTTGATGGTTACCCTATCTTATTATTCCAAAATACGCTTCCGAGTGTTGTCTTTTCGAAGACTCTAGTTGCCATGCACAGTCGGAATGTTTCGACAATATCGGAGTTAGTGTGAAGTTATCCATAAAATCTCCGCCATAGAACTATCGAATTGCGGAAACGAAACTAAAAAAGTCGTGATTTTTGATAGTTTCCGATTGCAGTCTGTACACGGCTGGTTTGTGCCACATTGAAAATAGCTACTATACTACTAGCAATCAACCAAATTAGTTTTGTGTAAAGTTTCGCCGACTGAGCGTCTAAAAAAAAATAAAAAAATCTAAAAAAGTCGTGATTTTTGCCAATTTTCGATTGTAGCCCCTACATAGCTATTTGCGCCACTTTCGAACTATTTGCAAATGTTAGCTACTATCACTAGAATATAAATGTGGAGAAAAAAACATTTTTTAAAGAATATTTTTCAAAAGCTGTATCTATATATATGTTTCATTTAAATGGAATATTCATCGAAGCTTTAATAGAAGAATAATCTCAGATATGTTTCTAAGACTATAAGAGGTAGGTAACTAATGAAAATACTCTAATGGATTGACCCAAGAAACTAGAAAGTTCTGCCCATAATAAATCATCAACATCATAGGTGATCACTCGATACCGAGTATGATTATCTCCTATCCACATTGTCGTCGATTGTGCGTTTTCTAAGGGCTATATAAACCAATTCTGCAACCGCACACTCTGCCACTATCTTGTCACACCCAGCCTCTGTTGTCTCTTCCTCTGTTCTCTTGCTTCTTCCTGCGGACCCTCTTTTCGGCCTCGTGTCTGCGTCGCTGTTCTCCAAAAGTTTATGGTCCGTCGTGGAATACTCGACGCCATGGGACTATCATTTCCCTCCGTCTATCAGTTGCTGGTATCGCTGCGACACTCTACCATATTCTCCCTAAGAACATCCTTGTAGCGTTTTTTTACCTCCCTGATTTCGTTCTCTCTCTTTCAGTTGACTGTAGAGAATCTGTCGTGGAAGACGTGTTTCGAGCATGCGGACGAGGTGACCAGTCCAACGAAGTTGGTGCTTAATGATGAGGATTTCCAATCCGTTGGATCCTTCTTGGGCATCGCTAGACCTTTTTTTTAGGCTTTTTATGTGTCTTCTGTAGTTGGTTCATGTTTCGCAGCCATATTATGTAAGTGTTGGTATTACAACTGCATTGTAGACGCGAAGTTTGGACTCAGCGCTGATGTCGTGATTGTTGAAGACTCTCTGTAGAAGTCGCCCGAACGCCATGTTAGCACACTTCATGCGATGTAGGATTTTAGCGTCAATGGTTGTATTCGCTGACAGATGGCTCCCAAGGTATAGGAAGTGTCGTATGTTCTGCAAAGAATGTTCATTTATAGTTATATTTGGGGCTGGGGGATTATTATTCGGTGCGGGTTGGTGCAGAATCTGCGTCTTGTTAAAGTGGACCTCTGGGTTGGTTCTCCTGTATGCATTGATAATTGCCTGAAGATCTTCCTCTGTATTGGCCATCGCGACTTTATCATCCGTATATTGAAGTTCAATTATCGATGTCGTCAAGACTTTCGTCTTGGCTCGTAATCTGTTTTGGTTCAATAAGCCGCCATAAAATCTGTACAGGATTTCCACTCCTGACGGCAGGTGAACCTCGACAAGGTCAAGTATAGATCCTATAAATAGAGAAAATAAATTGTCTACAATAACACAGCCATGTTTAACGCCTGTAGTTATTATTAGAAAAGACTCTCCTAATCCACCCTTGCTTAGGACGGTTGCATTCATAATATTATCATGCAGCAGGCGGAGTAACGGGTTGTACTTTCGCGGACACCCAACCTTTGCCAATATCTTCGAAAGAGCTTCTCTATTGACCGAATCACTAAATCTATGAAGACCATGTATAGAGGGCGATTTGTTCGCTGGATTTCTCTTGCATTTGCCTTGCACTGAAAATCATGTCAGCTCTATCTTGGTTGGGTCTAAGGCCACACGGTGTCTCTAGATTTTCTTCGGCGGTTGGGACTAAACGATTTGATAATACCCTGGCAAGTATCTTTCCCGCAACTGAAAGTAAATAGATTTTTCTGTAGGTTCCACATTGAGCCTTTGTCTCCCTTTTCAAAAATCGGTGACTATGGAGGCATATCTAAGTTCGGCAGGCATGGTCTCAGTCAGAGCTAGGCAGTAGCTAGCTACCAAGTAGTTAAGCTACTAGCTTAGCTACTTTTTTGGTAGCTAATAACTTATTCAAGCTACTTTGAAAAAAAAGTAGCTTGTAGCTGTAGCTTTTGGTGATGTGTTTCAAGTATTCATAAGCTACTGTGAAAAGTAGCTAGCTACTAAAACAAGCTACTTAAGCTACTTTTGGTAGATAGTTAATAGTTATTTAGGTATTAATGGCGGAAACTGTCATTTACCGCCCGAGGGTGTGGTTAACGATACTCAACGTCCAAAATACTTATTACGTTTTATGCGCAGCGGACTCTTCTAGTTCAAAAATAAAATAACTATACCTATAATATAATGGCATCCATTCGACATTGTTTTCAAAAATAAACAGTTTTCCCCTTATAAAGGCACGTTTCCACCAACCTATCGCCCGCGTTCGAATTTACCGCTCGATAAAAGTAACTTTATACCTTAATTGCTCAAGCTATAATTATCATTTTCCGGAAAATTCTTATCCTGCCTTGCTTAGACTAGTTTCTAGTTATCTCTGTAGGTACCTATGTTTTATGTGTCCTATTTTATTCTCGCATTCGCAGATCACTGTGATCAAAGTGAACCTTATAAATTAATGTCCATTGTTTTTGACAAAAATATGAATACTACTTCTTAAAGAAAGTTAATATGTTATTTTCGTATGATGATATTATGAAATTAAATTAGGTAAGGCATGTACATTGATAAAAGTAGCTTAAATAGTAGCTTTCACTAATTCAAAATGTAGTTAAGTTACTAATAGCTTAGCTACTTTTTCAAAGAGGTAGTTAAGCTACTGAGTAACTTAGCTACTTACAATATAAAGTAGCTTGTAGCTTGTAGCTAGCTACTTTTTTCAGGTAGCTTGCCCAGGTCTGACTCAGTAATCCATATTTTACTTATTAGGATGTGGGTTTGAGCACTTAGTGTGGGGCCTCCTTGTTTAAAGAATTCAGCAGGAATGCCGTCAGTACCAGCTGACTTATTGTTCCTCAGTTGTCTGATTGCCTCCTCTAATCTGGAAACTTCGCGCAGTTCCTGTTGTATTGGATTGAAGGCATTATCAAAACATTTTAGAGCATTAAAAAACGGGTATTAAAATCTTTCTTCATGAAGTTCTGATAATACCAACACCGCCAACTATTTCGTGCCAAACCGTCGAACAAGACGTGGAAAACTTATTCAATCTGAGAATATCCACATCAAATCAATCTAATTTCAACATCCCACTTTACCTAATTCCCGCTCCTGAATAGTTCGGTTTAATCAATGTTAGAGGCATTTTGAACGATTTCGATCTGTATTGAACAATTACCAATATCATCTCGAGAAATTTACTAAAGTTATGCAAACCTAAAAAAAATTTCATTTAAAAATAATTGAATAAAAATACTCCATCATCGACGAGAAGTGCAGAATATTATGGAGCTGTTCGAGACGTGTTTCGAGAACAGAGAACAGATTACATCAAAAATCAATTTTTGCAAGATAAGGTGTTCCTGAAATAGTAAGAAAGAAGTGAGTGTAAGTCAATCTTTTCAATGAGTTGATTACTTACATAAAAAAATCTAACGAATATGGTTTGAGCATTCTAGAAATCTAATCTAATCATATCAAGAATAATGAGAATGGGCTTTCACTTAAATTCAAATACGTTATTTAAGCATAAAATCTTAAATTAGGGACTATTTTTAGGTATATTTGCCAAGAAAAAAAATTACCTACGAACTGAACGAAAATGAGTTTTCTACAGAAACTTCGAAAGTGAGAAAATTTAACATCCTTAAAACGCGTCAAACGGTGACGTCGTATAGGCGATATAATCATCTTCTACCAATTAAATTTGAGAAGACTCCATCGACAAAGCACGAACAGCTGTTCCGGTGGCCCCTGGCTTAAAGCTTTGATTTCGCTTTTTATTTTGCGTAAATTTTAATAATAAATATATTACAAATTTTCAGTACTGACAATGAGTGGCAACACTGTCAAAATTCAAGTGCGGATAAATTTCGTGATTTTATTTAGAGATTGGTTGAGGTTTTGTTTGGGATTGGATCGAAATAAAACAACAGAAGTCTGTTATTTCAGATTGTCGATCTTTCGCAATATATTATTGCATCTTCAGGAGACATGTAATCTTTCCATCTCCTGCATGAAACCCATCCTAGTTACCTATTCCGATCTTCAGTGGAATTTTCCCAAAAACTTAATAATTGGTTAGTTTGTTGTCGATCCCTTAATAGTAATTGGTTGAGGTTTTGTTTGGGATTGGAACGAAATAAAACAACAGAAGTCTGTTATTTCAGATTGTCGACGTTTCGCAATATATTATTGCATCTTCTCAGGACACATGTAATGTATCCATCTCCTGCATGAAACCCATCCTAGTTACTTATTCCGATCGTCAGTGGAATTTTCACAAAAAGTCAATAATTGGTTAGTTTGTTGTCGATCCCTTAATTGTAATTGGTTGAGGTTTTTTGGAGAGTGTTAGTTTCGATTCAATCCCAAACAAAACCTCAACCAATTACAATAATTAAGGGATCGACAACAAACTAACCAATTTTTATTTAGAGAGTTTCCTTTTTTATTTATTTTCTCAGCAATGACCATGAAGGACTCCAAGCAAAATTTGGCATTGCAGTTTTTAAATTGGATAGATTGAACCATGTTTATATACTTTATACTTTATGACAGAAGCTCCTGAGAATGAGGAAACTGAAAAAGAGCAAAAAAAAAGTCAAACTGACAACATACCTTTGAGAATAACTTGTAGTTGGTCCGCCATAACTTCGAACGTGCTTATAGAACTTCGGTCCTCAGGGATGACGTGTTTCCTATTCCACGTCCCGCAGGCATATTGAAAAAAGTCTATGCATGGATCGGCCATATGGTCCATTGCTGACAATAGGGATGACGCTGCAATAACGAAAACGATTTATTTTTAGTCTAATTATCTTAATTTTATGCAAATCTTTTTTAAATTTACAGAGCTGAAATTTTTTCAAATAAATATCAATATATTTATTTTTTTCTATTTTAATTAATTTGACACATACATTTTTAACTTATTTTTGACGGTTTTTTCCTCTACAAAATGCATGATCTCTGGCAGCCTATGAGATTCACCCCCATTTAATAGATGAGCATAATTTGCCCCTGATGATGAGATTTTCTAATCTCGAAACATGTAGGGCTTTTTGAAGTATTTGTGGAGAAAGATTTTAAGTTTTTCTTTTGGAATTAAATTTCAACTCCACCTTGAGATATGGACTACTTCTTCAATTTTAAATATCAATATGTCAGCACCGGCATCCACAATCAATATAATGACAAAATCAAAGCAAATGGTTGAGAATACATGTAGGTATAAGAAGTTGTTTGTCCGGTATGGTTCAAATTTTCAAAATATAACGTAATATAGTTTTCACCAAATAAATTTAGTTCAGAATAAAATTACGTCCAAAACGATATTGAAAAAATAACGTCTCTATCCCGCCTCAAAGGATTTGTCCAGGCAGAGTTGTCTTGAAAGGTTTAAATCCAGAGGGATATCATAGAACTTCAAAACGAAGTATTCACTGAAACTTTCAACTTTGACATGTATTCTTTTATAAAAGAAAAGTTTTGTCAATTTTTATCAGAATGTAGTCTGAACCTTACAACAATGAATTATTTTTTATCACAAACGGACATCGGGTTTTTGATACCCCAGAGTACAAATTTTATAGGAAAACAGTTTATGGAAGAAGTAGAAATCGGACACGCTAAAGTGTGTGAACATGCGAAGTATTAAATTTTCGTTCCAATCCCGAGAATAAAAAACTGTTTAGTAACACGAATTAATGCCAGTTGGAAATAAGCGAAGGGCTTGCCATGCGAGGAGACCCAATTTCGAATTTATTACTGTGGATGAATGTGGTGCATATAAAAAAGGAATTATTGGATGGAAATAGCATTTGCTTTTAATTTGTTTGGTGAATATTCGGGATAAGAACTTTTTGAAATATTATTACGAAAATTCGAAAATGCATCTAGTGCCTTTCCAAGAGGCAGGCGAGATTGTTTAGGTTCACGACCGAAACGAGAGTATTCAAGAATTTTATCGTGTATCCAAGTGAACAACAAATTCTAGAGACTTTCCGATTGAATAATTTTGGTAGGTTTATACCGCGTAGAATTTTATAAAGTTAAATTAGTTCATTAAAAGTTGTTATTGTTAGTGAAGTGAGTTTTTAGTGGACCCGCGTGACAATATGTATTATGTATGAAATAATTGTTCGTATTTCCTTTACTTTAGTTTGAGAGTTTTATGATCATGCATACATCAGCTTCTACTCAGTAGGTACATGATTACTTTATATGAAATATTACCATTCTGCCATTCGAATTTCTAATAAAATCGTGAAATCCAATATGCCAAGTCATTTTCAAAATAATTAAAACTCTACAAAATTACTGCCATTTTGACCTTTAAAATTTTATTGACATCGTAAAAACCAATATTCCAACCGCAACACATTAAATAATGCGCACCATTTTGAATTTCAGCTATATCCATGCATTAACACCTATGGAAGATCATAAATTTTTTAAAATAATAGTATCCTGATTTGCCTATTGTGCCATTTGCTCTCAAAATTTACTATCTGAAACCTATATGACATGATGCTTTTAAATTTTATTAGGTAGCGGGTATAAAATAGAAATAAACCACGGTTATATGAAAATTTCTACCCCATCAAATACATAATTAATGTCCCTAAAGTATTCCTATATTATAAACCAATATTGGCAAAAGTAATAAGCTGTCATTTTGTAATACAAGGGACTCGTGGTACATGGCAAGCAGGATGTAAGTTAACAATGAATGAATAAAGTGCTTTATTGTCGAAGAAGCTCCAAAATAAATAAATTTTATGGACAAAGCATCAGAACATATGCCTACAACTAAGATTGGACACGTGTATTCCTTGAAAACTAAAAAGTAAAACACTTGATTGATCGAGTACCAAAAACTTAGTTCATAATAATTTGAGGAGTAATAGATTTTATAACAGCCTTCACATCCCTATACCAGAATAAATTACTCTTCAATAATATTCCTATGATACACACACATGAATATTAAAAATGATATATGAAAAATCAGACAAGTGTTCCAATATACCACACAATAAACAATTTGATACATACCGTAATTCAGAAACAATTATTATCCTTCTTTCAGAAGAAATATCAATTTAACAACTTATCTTTTAATTTGCTCCTATATACTTTGAGATCTCGGCCATTTCTCATTTCCAAGCCTAGGTGGTTATACATCTTTATGCCATTATAAATAAAGTAGACTCTAACAAGGCTTCAGCGAAGGATTAGTAGAGGTATATATATCTGTCTCGTTAGACTGGATATGTTGGTGATTAGGAAAAAAGGTTATCTTCTTATGGATAAGGCCTGCAATTTATAAGATAAATAAGCCAGCAAGGGTTAGGATGTTATCCGTGGATAGGCACTCCAGAATGGAAAAGCATGTCTGAGGTGTGTTTCAACTTTTGCAAAGTAAATGTTATAAGGGAAGCGTTTTCCCAGTTCCTGAGATGTAATACGAATTAGCAGCCAGAGACCAACAAAGTGTTACAATGTGAAACATCAGTAATAGAACGATTACCTATCTCGATGTTGTTTACCGTACATTTACACACACAATTTTTTTTTTACTTACTTCAACAAAAGACAAAGTCTATACTACCTGAGCGGACCATGAGAGGAAGAGATTAAGTGACGATTAACCCTCCGTTTGAACACGTTGTCGTTAAGGTTGAATCGTTCAGGAAATGAAGTAGAAGCCAGGGAGTTCTAGAGGTGGGCAGTACGCCAACAAAAAGAAGACTTATATTTAGAGGTCCTCGGGGTAACCAACTTGCTGTGAGGTCCTTGTGGTTCTCAGTTAACTGCTCCTAGCTGGTCAAATCATCAGAACATCTCCCATGGCAATAGCGATAGCATAACGACAAGTGGGCCACCTTGCGTCTATATTCGAGAGATTGCAATGAATCGGTGAGAGTTGGATTATCGAACATTTTTATTGTGCATCTGACATCTAATAGAGTCAACGAATGCTTGGGAGCATCGCTCCAGATATGAGAACGGTAGGTATTCTATATACATGGTCTGATTTGAGCCTTATAAAGCAGAAGAAGTTGTTCAGAAGTAAAGAATTTTTTTGCATGAGACAAAGAAATCTAACTTTTGAGAAGCGGTTTTGGCGATCGAAGGTGCATAGTCATGCCAAGACAAGTTGTTCGATGCGGTCACCCCCAGAAGAGATACTGAGGGATTTATAGAAAGGTTTTGTCCCGACATCCTTAAAACTAAATTATCATCGGTGGAAGATTTCTCATTTGAGAATACTGTTGCTTGAGTTTTGGAAGCATTGAATTTGAATAGGCTGTTAAGCCCCAGTTGGTAATGATGTCAAGATCACTGTTGATAGAGTGAACATGTGGAAGTGGCTGCAGTGAGCGGTTTGTCAGAAGAGAGAAACGCCATCAAGCTACTATTGTGTGCAACGCTGTAAATGGGGTTTCTTATCATTTGTCATATTTAACAAATCCGTTATAAAAATAAGAAACAGTGTTGGGGACAGAATATCGCCTTATGGAACGCCGGTATTTATATAGGCAGTGTAACAGAAGACACACCACACCGTCCCATCGACCACAAGGTACCTGCCGTCCGAGAAGCTCACCAGCTAATGAAACAATTCGTTCGGAAAACCATACGATGAAAGCTGCTGAGGATACCTTAATGCCACACCTGATCAAAAGCGTTGGACATGCCCAAATGCTACAATTCTGGATTCGTCTATTTTTTCGAGAGTCGAGTTCTAACGTACGCCAGCAGATCCCCTGTTGATCTTTTAGAACGAAACCCGTACTGTTTGTCAGAGATGAGTTTTTTGGCTTCGAGGTATTCAACCACTTTCAGGGGTGCGATTTTCGAATCCATTCGAGTACATTTCGTACACGAAATTTGACTGACAGCAATGTAAATTAAATGGGGAGCATTCGAAATCGTATCAAATTTCGTATAGGAAAATATTCGAAAATCGGATCCCAGGTTGATTGCCTTTTTCATTACTTTCGAAAGTACGGATATAAATGAGATAATTGCTAGGAAGTTTTTTCTTGCCCTTTCCCGGGATTGGCTGCACTCAGTGAGGGAGACAGAGAAGATTAGAATCACACCACTCCTTAATGAATTTTAGAGAGGTGGCCATGAGAGGTGAAGCCGTAAGTCGTGAACCAGATAATTCGCGTCGAAGAAGATCATTGATGAAAGTGAGAAACAAAGTTGGGTCCAAAACAGATCCCTGATGAAACAGGCCTTTTACTAGATGATACTCGCTCCAAACACACAAACTGAACATTCAGAAGCTACACTACGGAAACCGCAAATCATCATACCGCTAACCCCCATTGATAACCTGAAATTATCTCGATATGAGGTCCAACCTAGCATCAGATGTTCTCTTAACCTATCGAAGATCATGTACTGAATGGTGTTGATTATCTTTTATTCTCCCAGGGAAGAGGTAATTCGTTTAGCTACTAGCAAGGCTTTCCACCGGTTTTGACGAAAAAATCCCTGTTTCTAACAAGGAGTCAATGGTGTCTACTGGCAAGTGAGCCATAATAATTATAAAGTCACAGGGTATAGGTATTTTATAAAAGAATATCCGACTCCTGTATAAATTACCTTGAACGAATATCCGCGGAAATTTCAAAGACTATTCTATTAGCCCCATTTTAATAATTTTTCCATTTAGTAGAAGCCCAGCTTCAATTTCCATAGAAAATTCCAAAATTGCCTAGCTAAGCACAAATTTTCTACTTTAATTGGATCGGAAACGATGC